GACCTCGTACGGAAACAAAAATAGCACCATCCGATTCGCCGTGAAAAACTGCATCAGATAGACACCTTTTTAGGCCTTAACAACCAACTTCAAAATTTGACCTCACTTGACCTGACCTTGACCTGACCTCGACCTGAAATTCATCCAGAGGTGGTCCATATTACTTATTGAGTGTGCCTATTGAATTCTATGAGTAAAATGACCCATAAAACATGTGTCGCACATGCCCTTTTCTATATTTTGTTTTTTGGTGACCTGACCTGACCTGACCTGACCTTGACCTTGACCTCTGAATGATATTGTACGCAAAGAATATTGTCTTGGTAGCCTAAGAACACGTTTTGGGCGATCAGTCTCAGTCCATGGACCATGACTCCATTCTTCGGCAACTACGGTGCAAGGCCGATACTGTAGAAACTTGCAATTTGTACCCTTGACCTGACCTTGACTTTGACCTCAAACTTTAAATTAAGTACATGTTTTTAGTAGTTCGTGATGAGAGCTTTCGATTGGCGTTTGAATTTTCCAAATCGGACCATTAGTTCGGGAGATAACAGGGGGGGGGGGTAAAATTTACCCCCCCAGCCCCGCGCGTTCGGCTGGAGACCCCAGCCCCGCGCGGGTTAACCCGCGCCCGCGCGGGGGTCCTGGATTTCCACGCCATGCTGGGCGGGGGAGGGGGTGTTTGAAGTTTGAACACCCCCTTCTAACTCGAATATGTGCCACGTAACCACGTAGCGTAGCGTAGGCGGCGTTCGATAGAGCGTAAAAAATAATGATGAAATCACTAGGCTCACTTTTTTGGTCAGGTCAAAAGTCAGGTCACCAGAGGTAAGGGAATGCCAAATTTCGTCGATTTTCAAGTCGAATGTCGTCAATTAACAACTCGACGTATAGCTTGGAATCAATAGAGCTAAAGCGCCCCGAAAAAACGCATTTGATAACGCTCATGGGGGTCTGCCTTAGATTTGACCTTACGTCAACGGTTTTGCCTGCAGGATGCAAAAACTACAAAAAAGACGATTTTTGCGGAAACAGTTTTTCTGCAATAACTTTTGACTAAAACCTTGCACGAGCTTACTTTTTACCGGCATTGTGTTCCTCTCCTCAAGACGCACCAAATGAACTATGATTTGCCCTTGAAAGGTCAAATTGAAAAATTGCCGAAAATTTGACATCAGGCCAAGGTCATGACCTGACCGGAAAGGGTCATGCTGCATATCAGTCAATCCGTATCGTCGACCTCACACACATCTAAGGCGTTTTTATCGCTCTATCAAAAGCTATTCGCCCTAAACTGTTAGGCAGATAGGGGAGAGTGGGGTAAGATGCCCAGGGTGGGAAAGACGCCCCACCCCCTCTAGCGGGGAAACAAAGAATCGAACCTGGATATTAATGTTCTTAGCGTAAAGCGGAAGCCTGCCTTGTTAACTGCACAAAAATTTGCGAAGCTCAGTTGGGCAACGGCTGGCTGGTGATTGCATGTTTTTTATTTGCTGCTTTCAAAAAATATTTTGACGTCAAAACATTGCAAATATCAAAGAAGGTAGATAATTTTTGCGTCCCTTGCTATAGTCGTGATACATTAACATGCGTGTACTGTGTCCCCAACAGTTTGTTTCAGGGTGTAGTTTTATGGCTAACAAATGGTGCTGATTTAATGTTACTTCGGTACCTTGGGGTAAGATGCCCCCTGTCCTGATGGGGAAAGACGCCCCCCTGAATCCGTAGGCTGTCCTTCAAGCAGCCCGTCAAATCATTTATTACATACTTGTGATGAGAGACAAAAGCCGATCTGGGACTATTGAGAGTCCGGTACGGTCGGGTGCTCCCCATGCCGGTCTTTCGGCCCACACAGCGACTTTTTGGGCGGCATCTGACTCTGAGAGCCTTCACGACGGCCTCTGTGGGCCCCATTATTGGTTCCAGGGCCCCTCACGACATCCTTTGAGGGCTCCCACGTTGGCTCCACGGGCCGCGCTGGCATCTGAGGTCCCCACGATGGGCTCGAGGGTCCTCAAGCATCATGAAGACCTATAAGGGCCCCACAGTGGTCTCCGAACGCCACCACTGAGACTTGTTTGGCCACGCTGGACTATGATGGCCCTAACGATGACCTCTGAAGCCCCTTACGACTACTTTTGAGGGCCCTTACGATGATGTTTGGTGTCTACTGCAGGCTTGAAGGGACTACTGATTCGTTCAGGCGATTCACGTGCCTATTTATGTCATTTATAGTGCAGGGGGCATCTTACCCAACGCCAGGGGGCGTCTTTCCCACCCTGTGGGGTAAGATGCCCCCTTTCACTTCTTCAGGAAAATGCTTAATAGCAAAAAAAGTTATCATATTTCAGGCACGAAAGTGTGATATTTTTGGAGAAAAATGATGTCGGCTTCACTCCAAGTTTTGGCTTTCCGATCGTCATTTTCGAATAATATATGACATAGTCAAACCCTGGGCATCTTTCCCCACTCTCCCCTACCATTCATGCCCCGAGATGAGCTCAGAGGCATAAACAGCTGGGTCCCGGATGCCATTCTCCAGTTCAGTGTGTCTGGTGTCATAGATACCTGTAATTCAGTGTTTGAAAGTGTTGATAATGACATTCGTCCAAGAGAGGCGCCTTTTAATTTTCATTTTTGGGTCAGCTCAGGTCACTGACCTATGACGTCATAAGTGAACATCTGCACGGTCTTCAGATGTCGCAACTTCGCAACGCCCTCACTGCCACAGGAGATGTCACAGGGAAATGAAACTTGCAGGATCTAGTATTCATTACAAGTCTCACATAGTTCATAGTTCATAGTTTATTCGTGGTTGCATCCACTGAGAAGTGGCTCTTCCAGCGCCCGAGTCACACATACAAGTCATAAGATATAAAACAGTGATGACATAAAATGAAGAGGAGAAACACGCGATAAGACATGGCACTCCACGAACCTATCCTACCTCCCGAAGCAGCAGAAGTCTCAGCTGTCGTTTGAAGGCAGGTCGCGACAGAGACTGCAGCTCATTGTATAATGCTCATTGCAGCTCATCATACAATATCACAACTTGTATATCTCGGATTTTTCCTAAAGGTCATATGAGGTCAGGTCATTTTCGTGACCTCACCATTAAAAGTCAATGGGGAAAAATGAAAACTGCTATTCTGGCGCCGGGAACGATCTCCAGCTATCTCAAGCACACAGAATAGTGATTTGATGCACTCCTTGCAAGGTTAGATGCCTCACTTTTGCAATGTTGACCTTGCGTGACGTCATTTATGACGTCATCAGGGTCATATTAGTTTTTTGTCAATAACTCGTGATCAAATTGAGCTAGCGAGTCGGGAAAGCCACCAATGGACTCAGGAAGACCTACCGAATCTAATGATATGCGACATGACCTCTTTCGACCAGCTTCGTGACCTGGGGGTGCTGACCTGACCTTGACCTGAGGTCAACACCCTCAGTTGACCTGACCCAAACAAAAAGTATATCATTCGACGCGCCTGAGCGAGGTGAACACGATGCTGCCAAAATCGCGGCTCTGCGGCCGTTTTTTATGAAGTTATTCACCAAAAACTGAACCGTACCTTGGGGCACTTGACCTGACCTCAGAGGTCACCGGTTGACCTGGGACCTTAAAATCGGGCACCAATCTCTGCGTCTCGTAACGGCGCACACGCTCGTTTTTTCGGCGACGCGCTAGCTTCACCAGGGGCGAAACAGGGGGGGGGGGTCGTACCCGCCCCCCCCCCCCTCGGCCGGCGCGTATGTAGAAAACCAATAGGTCCGGCGAGGGTTAATGATTCTGGGAGGTGGTTCCATAGTTTGGCAGTTGATAGGAAGAACGATGACTGATAGGATGTGGTGCGATATGGTTGGATTGCATGGTTCCTGTGATTTCGCAGGGTCCTTCCTGTTCTTTGTGAGCGGGCGTCCGGTATGATTGATTTGATGTAGTTAGGAGTTTTTTGTATGTGGCTATTGAGTGTATGGTATAGTGTTATTTTGTGCATCTCTCTTCTTGTTTTTAACTTGTTCCATCCTAGGTCTTTTAACAATTTGTCAGTTGGTGTTCTAAATAAAGTGCCAGTCACAAGCCGAGCCGCTCTGTTTTGTAAAACTTCAAGTCTCTGTGTGTCCTGGAGCGTAATACCTATGTATGTCCGTCATAAACAGTGTCGTAAAAGTCAAAATGTGGTCTCGTGTATGTTTTGTAAATTTGATCTAAAATTTCTCGGGCGATGTATGGAGCAATGGAGTACAATGGGCTCATGGTTCTGTTTACCTTTTTGCAAATTCGTTAATGTGCTGATGAAACCGCAAGTCCTTTAAAGATGTCATTCCCAGATGAGCGTGGTTTTCGTGAATGGGTATTATGTCGACCCCAAATGTAAGAGCAGCTGGTGTGTTTTGTGGGCTGCGTGAAAATGTCTGTTGTTATTGTTTTGCTTATGTTAAAAGTAATCGCCCATTCATGTTAGAGGAGGCCCTGGAACTACGTGCTATTTAGGATACCTATCAATATAATACGCATGGCGGTACCCCTCTTTTGCCGCAGCAGTCTCGCATAATTTCAGATAGGAAACAGCAAACGCCATCTTAAGCAATCGCATTACAGCAGGCAGACCTACCCCGCGTTCGATGTCTCTCGGACGGCGAAGATTCTACGCCGTCCGGCCAATCACGTTTCATAACCGCAGCCGAGCCCCCGATGACCTTGGACGGGATTGGCCGGACGGCAAAGAATCTTTGCCGTCGGGGAGACATCGAACGCCGCCTTAGCTTTTACCTGTGGAAGTGTTAGGTCACAATTTGCAATTGCATTACCAGGATTTCATACCGGTAGTGTGCACTGTGCAGCATGCTGTTATAGCTAATCATGGACAGGCTGAATTAATGCGCACAGACAGGACATCACACCCATTGATGTTGTCAAATGGCCATTTATTGCGATAAATGCCACCGCGGGTAATCGTCCCCCCAATCAGCCTCCTGAGCGCGCCACTGCCACTGACCTGACCTCTGGGTGGCCAATCGAACTGCCCGGGGCACAGCGCCCGCCAGTCGCCGGGCCGCCACAGTCACGGTTGTGCGCGTGGACCGTGCTGTGAACTGTGCGAATGCTAAATACCGCATTGCTCTACGATTTACCTTGCAGTTTATTATAGGGATTTAATACGAGTGTGAACTAAATGTTCGCAGCACTGCTATAAGCACCCAGGATACGTGGGCTTCATAGGTAAGTCAGTTTTCTTTCTTTTGATGCAAAAAAAAACTTTGTTGTAATTCATTGGATTTGTTTTTTTTATATAAATCGTGATATTCTTTTATTTCCACGTCTAACGTTGGCAACGGCTGGTAATTAATTAAACGACGAAAGTAGGCAAACGTTTTTTTCTCCTTTGGATTCGTCGTCAAAGATAATGAAGCAGTCGTATATATACCCTCTGAAATACGGTGCAAATTCATTAGGGGCAGTCATTCGGCCAATTCACCTCATGGAAGTAATTTTTTGCAAAGGTAGGGCCCAGAGGGAGACCCATGCCCACCCCATGTTCCTGTTTGTACAGTAACATAAAAACATGATTTACATGATTAAACAAGAAGTACGAGTTTAGTACGGCTAACTTGAACTCTAGCAAGGTTCGAAAAAAACATTACCCATTTTATGCCCCCTATAGGTAGTTATATGAAATAGAGAGCTAATGCATGGGCCTATATTGATATTGATGTCATAATGCATAATACATAGGCCTATGTCTATCGTTTCTTTCACAGGTATGTTAGTGAAAAGACTTTCAATGTCAAGACTTGCTATGACCGTAGATGAATCTACTAGATTGATCTACTTCTAGATTTTAGATTCATCTATTTCTATAGATTAATCTACAGTCATGGCAAGTTTTGACGTTGAAAGTCTTTTCACTAACATAGGGGACAGTGGAGCGCGGTTCGTCGGAAGGTCATCTCAGGCTCAAAAGAAACGGTAGGTATATACCATTCGCAAGCTGACGGTGAGCTGAATCCAAAAATGAATTTCTTATCAAAATCGATCGATGGCCTTTTTGAAAATTGCGTTTTTGTAAAAAAAAACTTTATAATTTTTAGTCCCGGGCATTCTTAAAAAAACACGTTTTTCGAGTTCCAGTGAAAGCTGAACGCAAAAAAAAAAAATATTTAGCGAAGCAATATTTCCAAACATTAATATTCGTCTCCCACAGCCGACAATAAGGCGCAATCGCACAGCTCAGTGTCACGATGGACCAAAGTCAGCCACGCAGAACAAATGGCATATTTGTCAGTTTAACTGTCTGCATCGCTATTAAAGTTATTCAGGATACCTGTGAAGAAAATTAATTGTTCTGCTTGATTTACAACATGCTTTAATATACATTTTTCTTATACATGTTTTGTTCCATCCAGCTGCGCTCAGTGCCCGCGCAGGGGAAGTGAGCGGGGTTTTACTGTCAGAGGCTGTACTGGTGACAGCTGCTCGGCCGCGCGACCGGTCAAAGGTTACACAAAGTCTACCGCCTTCATAGTCTTTCGCCTGCGGCCTGACCAATATGATTTATGGTTTTACATGCTCAATGGAGTATAACACTCTCTGTTTCGCCTCAAATTACACCAAAGCTGCGTGAAAAGCGAACTCTTTGGTCGTCACAAGTCGCGGCGATTTGTTCCACATTTAACCCTCGCCGGCCGAGGAGGGGGGGGGGGGGGGGTGCCGCCCCCGCATAGGGTTTTCGCGATAGATCCAAACACGCTGGCGATAGAGAGCTGAAACTTGGCATACCTGACCTTTGATTCAAGCCGGATCTTTTGACATCAACCGCATTTTTGGGTCAGGTGTGGTCACTGACCTATGACGTCATAAGTGAACCTCTGCACGGTCTTCAGATGTCGCAACTTCGCAACGCCCTCGCCCCTCACTGCCAGAGGAGATATCACAGAGAAATGAAACTTGCAGGATCTAGTATCCATTATAAGTCTCACAACTTGTATATCTCGGATTTCTCCTAAAGGTCATATGAGGTCAGGTCATTTTCGTGACCACACCATTATTAACTAGTCACTGGGGGAAAAATGAAAAATGCTATTCTGGCGCCGGGAACGATCTCCAACTATCTCAAGCACACAGAATCGTGATTTGATCCACTCCTTGTAAGTTGTAAGGTTAGATGCGTCACTTTTGCAATGTTGACCTTGTGTGACGTCATTTATGACGTCATCAAGGTCATATCAGTTTTTCGTCAATAGCTCCCGATCAAATTGAGCTAGCGAGTCGGGAAAGCCACCAATGGACTCAGGAAGACCTACCGAATCGAATGATATGCGACATGACCTCTTTCGACCAGCTTCTTGACCTGGGGTGCTGACCTGACCGTGACCTGAGTTCAACAGCCTTAGTTGACCTGACCCAAACAAAAAGTATATCATTCGACGCGCCTGAGCGAGGCAAACACGATGCTGCCAAAATCGCGGCTCTGCGGCCGTTTTTTGCGAAGTAATTCACCAAAAACTGAACCGTACCTTGGGGCACTTGACCTGACCTCAGAGGTCACCGGTTGACCTAGGATCTTAAAATCAGGTACCAATCTCTGCGTCTTGTAACGGCGTACACGCTGGTTTTTTTCTGCGACGCGCTAGCTCCACCAGGGGCGAAACAGCGAGGGGGATCGTACACCCCCTCGGCCGGCGCGTATGTAGAAAACCAATAGGTCCGGCGAGGGTTAACCCGCGCCCCGTTGGGCTCTGCCGAGCAACGCGCCCTGTTGGGGGGGGGGGGGGGGGCAATTTGGCATCCCTAAGATCTCGAGAACCACGCAACCTTAGCGACAAGCGGCAAACGGTGTTTGATAGCCCTATCAGGGAACTACCTTATGACCCAATTTTATTGACCAAGGTCAAACCGATGACGTCACAGGTCAGGTCAAAGGTCGAATTTTCACCATTTACAGGCATTTCAAGAAATGTGTTGTAAAATCGAGTAAAATGCATTTCATTGAAAATCATCGATGGGAAAATGTTCTTCAACACATATTTTGCTATTTGAGGTCACTGATACTAGGTCAGGTCACAGAGGTCAGGTCACTGAGGGTCACAGTATGAAAATATCATGTGATGCGAGTATTATAGTCCATTTTATGTCAAATACGATTATGTGGGTCAGCCAGCCCTTCGGGTCAGTTAAGATTATGTTCTGGTGAAGGTCAGGTCAAGGTCAGGTCAAATTAAGTCAAATTTCGAAGTTGATATTTTTTGCATAAAAGGGTATCGATTCGATGCAGCTCGTCACGGGGAGTTCAATAGTGGTTTTTGTTTTGCCCTACGTGGTCTAGAATCGCTAAAAATTGAGTTCAAAAATTTGACTTCATCATTTTTGAAGTTTTTTTTGCTATAGCTTTGCCAAAAAACGAGATATCGATCTGAAATTTGGTATGTATATTGAAGAGCGCAGGGACTATTACAGATATTCCTTTTTTCGAAATTCGGAAAATTGTTTGGATATTTTTGAGTTTTTCTAAAAAAAAATATTTTTTTTTAAATTTTTGGGGGTCAAAAACCCAAAATTTTGAAAATCCGAGATGGCAGCTTTGTAGCGCCGCTTTTTGTCTACTAGACGATACAAAGAACTGAAATTGCTTGGTAACTGTAGCTTTGGTGAGCGTTTCAAGATTGCATGTTTTTTGCTCATTTTTGCTCGAACATGACCTCAGTTTGACCTAAATAACTCCTGACCTAAGGTGACCTAAGACTTGAAATTTGGTGTGAAGGTGTCAAATTGATGCCCGGGAAGGTACTGAAAATATGGCGATGCTGCGCGCCGCCGTTTTTTTGCTATTTAGGAAAAACCACAGGCCGGGGCGAGGGTTAAAGGTCTCGGGTCAGCCCAAAAACTCCAATCAAAGCCAATCGGTTTTTTCATTAAACCAGTAACTTTTTAACATAATGGCGCTTGTCATGGTGAGCCGCGTCAGTTAAAGGAGCAGTTCGTTCACTTTTAGCATGGGGTTTTGAACTGGAATAGCAGTTTCGCAGCTTGAGCTGAGACTAGCACAAATCAGAGCTTTCACGGCCTAAAGATCACCCTACTAGACGAAGATATTCCATTTCTCGTTCCGTAAAGAGTTCCTTGTAGAGGAATGCGTGCCTTGCTGAGGAATGCAGTCACGTCATCCGGTCAGCGGCAATCAGCATGCTGCTTACAGCCAATGCAGCACGCGTAGGTTTGAACTAAGCAATATGATTGGTCAACCCGTAATAATCTTCCGCGTCAAACATGATTTTATATAGAATATAGTTCTTCCTTTATCAAAATTTCGAAAATAATCCTTTTTATAAAAGTTTTTATTTTATTTTCTGATCATTTTCAGCAAAACAAATCATAAATCCATTGCAAAAACTAATTTCAGGAAAGTGAACACTTCCCTTCAATGTGCCCACTTTTTCTTAAGTAACAATCGGAGTGTTGAGCTAATGCCAAGGTCAGGTGAACTACGGCCCGGGCGGGCCAAGAGTCTGGTATGAAGGGATGAGGAAAGTTGGGCGTTTATTTTACGGCAACTCCAAAAGGCGTAAAATATTTAGCAGATTTTGGTTTACATTTAAAGCATGCATTTTCTAGTAACGATCGATTTCTACATAATTCTTTGTCATCTATACCTGCCTACACATCGGTTTCGAAGAGTTATATTACCTACTTATTTCACTAGCATAAATTTTACATTAATATGGCATTGGGATGAACTGTAACACGACCATGGATGGAGAAGTAAAGAAGTTTCCACTCGTGATTGATTATAACGGATTTTGGTTCCCTAGAATATTCAATTTTCAACCCCAAAATGACCGAGTACTTACAAATTTCGTAGATTTTCCAGCTCAACCAAAAATTCGAATCAATTGTAATTGAGGTCTCCTTATTCCGATTTTACGTTCCAAATGACAGCAGGCAAAAGCAGCTCACGCGTTCCACCTACCTCCAGGTGACACCGCTAGTCGGCCGTCGGCGATGATGACTCCGGAGCAGACAGATACCACTGATGACGACCGCCAGGTCGGACAGGCGGGCCGGAGCGACGTGGTCGGCCGGCTGGATCACGCTGAACCGAACGGAACATCAACGACCTCGGTCCCACCGCTGTGGTGGCTGTGCTCTGCGCGGCTGAAACCGCTGGTGTCCCGTTCCATAATCCTGCAGGTCACACTGGCCGTCATCGCCTGTGCTCTGTTCGTGGAGCTCAGCGCAGGTCCCAGGCCGACGATTGCGCCAAAGTCGCAGACGAGTGCATCGCTCCCAGTGGCTGCGGCCGCCCCGCGCGTCTGCGACAGCCTGGGCTGTGTGGTGACCGCAGCTCAGACAGTCCGCTACGCCAACCGCTCCGTCGATCCGTGTACAGACTTCTTCCACTTTGCGTGCGGCCGGTTTGCCGAGGCGCACACGTCCGACTCGCGAAACGCGCTCGGGGTGCGTGACGTTCTCCGGCGGCGGAACAGAGAGCGGCTGCTTCAGCTGCTGAGCCAGTCTCAGCACTTCAACAGCTCGTCGGCCATCAGCAAGGCGCGCCTATTCTTCTTCTCGTGCGTCCAGGCGTTCAGGGTCAGCCTGAACAGTGTGGCTGACCTGGTGAGTGTTCTGAAGCCGCTCGGAGGTCTGGACCTCCTGAACACCTGGCGGCCTGACCAGTGGGACTTCAACACCGTGCTCGCCAACGCCAGCCGCCTTCACCTCACACAGGCATTCTTCACGCTCACCTGGGACCGTGAGCTTGACGTGCTGGATGTGAAGCTGCCCAAGCTGTCAGCCGACTTTCCGCGCTGGGACGTGGGAAGCAGCCGGTACCACGCCGTCGAGGCACGTGTCGGTCGGGCGATGCGCGAGGTGTTTTACTATATGGAGAAGGATGCAGAGGTTCTGATCCGCGACAGCAAGCAGCCCAACGCGGCGGTACCCCGAGACTGCACACTCAATGCCTCTAACAGTTCAGACATAAACGCTGTGTCCCCTTGCGTGGAGGAGATCGTCCGGGACATCCTGTCTGTTCAGGGGGAGCTGTTTGCGATCGACCCTAAGCGTTGGAGTCAGTCGTCCTTTGCGCCTTCGCTTACAGTGAAGGTGACGTTCGCTGAGATGGTCCGCCTCGTGCCGCAGATTGACTGGCGTCGCCTGCTGGACGCCCTGTTCGGGAAGAACTCTGTGCCCGACTCCGTCCTCTTCCAAATACCCTCTCGCGAGCACATGGTCGCAGTGGGTCGCATCATAGAGAACACGCGCATCAAGCGGCTCCATCACTTCCTGATGTGGCCGGTGATCAGACGTTACCTGGTGGCCATCGGACCCATTTACGCCACGCTCGGCGAGGAACTGAACCGCAACTATGACTCTGAGCAGCTCAAGACCCGGGAGGAACAGTGTCTGGGGCTTATGGACGAGCACATGGCGCCGGCCGTGCACGCTCTGCTGCTCTCGCTTCACATCGGTCAGGATAGTGTCAAACATGTTCGCAGACATCTGCTGAACGACGTGATCGATCAGCTGAACGAGAGCTTTGGCTGGATGTCCGAAGAGACGCAGCGTAAGGCACGGTTCGCTTTGCGCAACCTTAACATCAACTTTGGCTATACCATGCTAATTCAGCTCGAAAATGCACTGGATTTGTACTACAGACCTATCGATTTCCACGTCCTTGACTTCTTCGGAAATTTGAAGGAATTATACGAATTTAACCGGCCAGGTAAAATCTTATATGAGTTTCCGACCAAAGGTCCACCAGAGAGCGTCCCAATCCAGCACATATTCGCTCACAACACGCTGTGGATCCCGTTCGGAGCGCTCCAAGCTCCCTGGTACCATGTGGACGTTCCAGCAGCGCTGAACGCTGCCTCGCTCGGCTCCCTGATCTTCGAGGCGCTGGCAGTGCCGTTCATCCAGATCCACATGTCCCCGCAGAATCTGACGGACATCTGGGATCGCGAAACTGAGAGTCGCTTCGAGCACTACTACAACTGCTTGTTGGAGAAGGTCCGTGAGCGACCGATTCGCCAGGAGCTGGCTGTAATTGAGCCCGCTCGCAGCGGACTCCGGTTCGCAGCGTACAGCATGCGCGTCGACCCAGTGCCGGCCACCTACTACATGATGGCAGACCAGTTCGCCTACCAGCTGTCCTACCGGCTCTTCGAGCGTCTGACATCCCAGAACAACGAGTCCTCGGTGCTGGTGCCCGGCCTTCCCATCACCAGCGCCAGTCAGGCCTTCTTCATGGCGTTCACGCAGGCCCGCTGTCGGAACGACTACGCTCTGTGGGACGAGTCCCTGGTGGGAGCCTCCAAGACGCTGCAGGTGCCTGAGTCATACGTCATCAACCAGCTGGTGCAGGATGATCCTCGCTTCAGAGAGGCGTTCAAATGCGAGCCGCTACCACCGGCAGGGACTGACAGGGAGGTTAGGCAGTGCTCCCTGTTCTAAAGCGACCTGATTATCTTGCTGTTGCTGAGACCAAGTGCCAAATTGCAACCAAATATATGTCACGTTTGTCTGGGAAAGGTGCTCTTGTGTTTGCTTGCTGCCTAAATCAAGATCATGTGGTAATGCGATTACGTCTGTAAAGGCCTGGCTACACTATGCGTTTTCTGCTTGCGTTTTTTGCGGGTTTACGTTGTTTGCGTAATATTGTTCTAGAAAAAAATTATAAATAATATAAGTTTTCTATTAGTTATCTACCAAAGGTGATATAACTCATATATTATCTAGCATTTAATGTAAAAAAACATCCAAAAACGTAACATCGTTATTTTTTTCTAGAACGATATTACGCAAAACCCGCAAACCCGCAAAAAAAAACTCACGCAGAAAACGCATAGTGAAGCCAGGCCTTAATGGTTATGGGCACACCGATCCTACACTTCTTCGCAAACATAATCTCATCTTTTTGTTCAAGTGTGCGAAAACCCATAATCGAAAACCCCCATCTCAGTCGAGCGTTCGGCCGATTTTCTTGTATCCGTCGCGTTTTGCCTTATTCGACTAGTTTGCAGAAAAATTCCACTTTAACGAAGCACATGTAGTAACTACCTCCATAATGACGCATCTTGCATGCATAACCGCACGTAATTTGCTGCGAACACCACCGCCAAACCACTACGCCATACCATTGAGCCTTCGCGACAGGATGAAGCATTACCCCGGACATCCATATAACACAGATCACAATTCCTTAGCCGACACGCAATCCACGGACAGTCGGACGGGTGATAATTACGCCCAGCGCCCTTTTGCATACCGTGAGATGCCGTTGTGTGACGCAACCGTCTCTGCCCGGGGGCACAGACGGCCGCACGGGCGCGCAGCTGTATGAGCGGCCGGATACGCGGGCCGGAGGCGGCCGGCCAGGTGGCTGCACCAGACGCCCCGCGGACATCGCTGGTTACTCGTCGCAGACAGGTGACGAGAACGGTCGGCCGGTAGGAGGGGAGTGGCGTAGCGACCGGCGCTGCGCCGAGAGCCGATTTGTTATAGCTGCGCTGGCTACAGCTAGGCCGGCTCGAAACCTGTTGAGAAATATCCTTTCTACTGTCCAGTTGCATGTCCATCTAGACAGTGAAGCTACCGCATACTTGTGCGGCTGCGTGAATAGAATTTGAAGCATCACTTTTCTGTAGTGAATTGTAGCCGTTTTCAAACTTTGTTCCGACCCATTTGAAGCCGTACTTGCACGTCAGTAAAATACTATTTCATTTTTTTTTTCTATTTCATTTAATCTATGACCTACGAGACAGCACCTTGTTTTATGCCTCCGACGACTCAAAAACACGTTAACATTTGGTGAGAGAAAATTACACTAAGTCGATCAATTATTAACAATCAGTAGCATTCTGTACCCACCTTTACATAAATAAGAAATATCAGAAGAGAAGATAATAGATAAAATAAAACGACATACCTAACAGAACAACACTGATTACATTAAAATAGGACAAAACACATAAAATAGTTACAACAAGACAAACGGCAACGAAAAATGTGCCGGACATAACCCTAAATAATGTATTATTTGCACTCGGTTATGCATAATTTAATTGTTTTGCTTGCATTTTTGTTATCTCATCTGAACGTGTTGATTACAAGCTTACATTTTGTAACGCCTTTTCGATTGTTTTTTTTTTACTGTAACTTATTATCTTTTTATTACTTCAGTGATGGATCGAGGAAAATCGTCGTTATCCACTTCAAATCTATCGCACATTGTCCATGGTTAGGCCTAAACCTGTGGGAAGGAGGAGCGGAGCTTCCTGTTCAGTTGGTGGGGCGGCTGTCCCACCATCTTGCCATTTTGCCCCACCAATAATAGTTTTGCCCCCACCAACTTTAGCTGATTAGTAGGACTTTGTTGCTTAACAAACCAATCTTTTTCGCTTTGAGGAACTTTGAAATGTCTGTGTAATGCAAAATATTATCTCTGTAATGAAAAGAATTGATTCAGTGTTGCACTTTATCAAGCTTAACAATCGGTCATTGTAGGTTTGACAATTTGCCCCACCAATTTCCCTGGAAAAGCTCCACCCATGGTGGGAAGTGCCTAACTTACGAACTAAAATGTTTTGCTTCGTGAAAGATTACAATTGTTAAAATCTCTTGCCGACGCGCGAGCTTTCAATATTTTTCAGCCTTCGTCTGAGAACCAAAAAATTTAAAATCGAATTAATTTTTGACGGAGAAGTTGCCGCCAGGCCATTAAACTTTTTTCAATTCCCTTATTTACACAAACCATTCAAAATGCGCGAAATTGTTCATTTACAAGCTGGCCAGTGCGGCAACCAGATCGGTGCTAAATTCTGGGAGGTAATCTCCGACGAACATGGAATCGACCCGACAGGAACTTACCATGGTGACTCGGACCTGCAGCTTGAACGAATCAATGTATATTACAACGAAGCTAGCGGAGGCAAATATGTTCCAAGAGCGGTCCTGGTTGATTTGGAGCCAGGAACGATGGACTCAGTAAGAGCCGGTCCGTTCGGACAGATTTTCCGCCCAGATAACTTTGTTTTTGGTCAGAGTGGAGCTGGAAATAACTGGGCAAAGGGACACTATACTGAAGGAGCGGAACTTGTAGATTCCGTTCTGGATGTGGTGCGAAAAGAGGCTGAGAGCTGTGATTGCCTTCAAGGATTTCAGATGACCCACTCTTTGGGTGGAGGCACTGGCTCCGGCATGGGCACATTGCTCATTTCTAAGATCCGTGAAGAGTATCCTGACCGAATTATGAATACTTTCAGCGTGGTACCTTCTCCTAAAGTGTCCGACACAGTTGTGGAGCCTTATAATGCGACACTTTCTGTCCATCAGCTCGTTGAAAATACAGATGAAACATATTGCATTGACAACGAGGCTCTGTACGACATTTGCTTTAGAACATTGAAACTGACAACGCCAACATACGGTGACCTGAACCATCTCGTTTCGGCTACGATGTCCGGTGTCACCACCTGCCTCCGGTTCCCAGGCCAGCTGAATGCTGACCTCAGGAAACTGGCTGTGAACATGGTGCCCTTCCCCCGTCTTCACTTCTTCATGCCCGGTTTCGCGCCGCTCACCTCTCGCGGCAGCCAGCAGTACCGGGCGCTGACCGTGCCCGAGCTCACCCAGCAGATGTTCGACGCCAAGAACATGATGGCCGCCTGTGATCCCCGGCACGGCCGCTACCTCACCGTCGCTGCCATCTTCCGTGGACGCATGTCTATGAAAGAAGTGGATGAACAAATGCTCAACATTCAAAACAAAAACAGCAGTTACTTTGTCGAATGGATCCCAAACAACGTCAAGACTGCCGTCTGTGACATCCCGCCCCGCGGCCTAAAAATGTCATCCACCTTCATCGGCAACAGCACCGCTATTCAGGAGCTGTTCAAACGTGTATCAGAACAATTCACCGCCATGTTCCGGCGTAAGGCTTTCCTCCACTGGTACACCGGCGAGGGCATGGACGAGATGGAGTTCACAGAGGCCGAGAGCAACATGAACGACCTCGTCTCCGAGTACCAGCAGTATCAGGATGCGACAGCCGAAGAGGAGGGAGAATTCGACGAAGAAGAAGAGGAAGAGGGCGCCGAACAATAGTTTCGTCACCCCCATTTTGTCCAAATCTCACGTGTATCGTCCACCCAATAAATTTTTGTGCTGTGTGTCAAAAATACATTGTCTGCAACATGCTTGTGTTTAAGAAAAATATTGTAAAAAAAGAATTAATTAATCTAAAAATGTTATAATAACGACAGCATGTCTTACCACGAGAGCTTCATTCATTTCATCACCTACAACCTCAGGGGTTCCATTACACCGCCCACAGCCGCACCGGTATGCATGGTCCGATTTCCTCGAACAGGTGATGCGCAACCCGTCACAATTTCCGCCGTCTGTCGGCCGGAGGGGCCCCGAATCCTGCACACTTCCCGGGACGCAGCAGCGGCCAGACGGCACTCCCAGCAGGGCCCCATCGACCAGTGTGCCATCACCAGACGGGGTCGGCGAAAGTGTCGCCTGGACGAGCTGAGCCGACGCGGATCAGTGCCGTTCGCATCAGATAATGAATGTCCGTCCTCGCGCATCGGGTGCCGCTCGCAGGACGCGACGGCCGTCCGGTGGCGTAACGCGCCGTGACGGATATGTGACGCGGCCGCCCCACGCGTTGCAACGGTGTCATCCTGCGCGCGGCCGGACAGTGGAGTGCAGGCGGGCCCGCGGAGGTTCTAGGGAACCCGTAGCGGCAGGTGACAGCAGGGCGGCTGAGCGATCTGCCGTGACCTTCGGTAGGGCCGTGCGAAGCGCCGCGGGGAGATCTATCGATGTAGTTCGGAAGATGAATGTGCAGAATGAGTCGGTTGCAAAGAGAGTTTCACCGACGATTTCAAGGTTATGCTGATCGTCATCCATAACGAATTCCTAATCGATGAGCATTTAAATGCTAATATTTGAAGGAATTTATACATTTCACTCCATAGCATGCAGGGCATGCATCGGTATCACATTTTGTCGATAGTAAAGCTGCAACCGTACTTACGTGAAACCAGAACCACGCAGACGTCTGACTGACCTTGATCATCGCTGATTGAACTTTCCTCTCCCTTTCGTCAGCTTCTGATGCGATCGGCCTCGAAGGGTCATCCCCTCGCGCCACGTGGCCACTTCTGTTCCGAGTCCAAATCAGTCGGTCGTGACGGCGCGGCGGCCGCCGAGATGTGAGCCTTGTGCGGGATAATCGATACCCTGCGCTCACGCACATTGTGCGTTCTGCCCCCGGGCCGCGATGACTGAGGAGCTTTATGACTTGCGCACGCGGAACAGCTTGCAAGGCGAAAGAAAGCGTAACAGATGTAACAGCTACTTAATTTGGGGGTTGGGGTGACCAACGTCGGTAGGAGTGAAAATGGCAATAGTTAGAACCCGTTACAATCGCAAGTTTAAAAAAGCAGGAGTCTTCAAGTTCAGGCCATAGGTAGTATCTGAAAAAGCTCAGTCCGAATCTCTTGCGGGCAGTTGCGAATAGGAAATGATTGAAACACTTTCAAAGCCCGACATTTTCCGAACAGAAGAAGTACCTAAATCGGAACAAAATTCGCGGCGATCGACACGAACTCAAATAACAGCTGAGCCTTTTAATTGCTATTTCCAGAAGATTTTTCTCCCGTACTTAAGAGTGTATTTTGTTAATTGTATCACCGTTTTATACCCACTGACCATTCGGATAACGTCTTATGTTTTTTGCTTGTCAACGCATGCAATTAAAGTGCATCACTGCAGTGTACAATCACTATTCGGCGATCGCACCTTATGTTCTCCCAGATTTAGGATTTCTCCTATATCAGACTTCTGAGTGTCGTATACCGATTGCATTGCCATAAAGCTGCGCAAGGAAATTGATTTCCTACCTAGGTCTTGCTTCATTAATTCGATTGTGACGTAACATGGGACAGGTCATTCTAAGAATGGTTTCCAAGCCTTTTCAGTCCAGTCATACCTCGCCCCTTGTAAGGTCCTCGCACAAGGGCATTTCTAGATCAATAATTTCAGCATTGATCACATTGAGTTCATTACTTCTACAATGTTTAACCCGCGCACCGACGGCCTCCCCCCCCCCCCCCCTGAGGTTTTTCATAAACAGGGAAAAACGCGAAATTTGACATGACTTCTCCCTCATCAATTTTACACATGGTGTACAAGTTTGAACGTCCTAACTTTCAATGTCAGGTCACCAGGTCACTTCGAATGACCCAACCTCAAATCACTTTTTTTGCAACTTTGTCACCGCGTCAGAGCTACAGTAGATAACGGAGGCCTTTGAAAGTCGTACGGTGTAATGAGGTCATTGATAGCTACAATTTGTTCATCTCGGAATTTTGATATCGATGACCTAAGGTCAGGTCAATTTCTTGACCTCCCCAAATTAAGTCAATGGGGGAAAATCAGCCCCCGTTTTTTCCCTAAAAGGCGTCGCAATGGCCCAATAGGTATATCATGAATGACTTTAAATACGATCAACCTTGACTACCTTGAGGCCTTTTTTGCTCTTGGGCAGCTGTAAGGTCATGTGACGTCATCAAGGGTCACCAAAGTTTTTTTTTCTAATAAGGCCTTACAGAAGCGAGATACAGCCGCGCGGATGGTCTCATTATGTTCAGCTCGTCAAGGCGCATTGAATGATATGCATGATGATTGATGACCTTCAGGTCACGTGACCTGAGGTCAACCGTTGACCTTGACCTTTCGAGGTCAACACATATTTATTCGATGTGGATTGACGAGGGGATCACGATGGTGCCATTATGTAGTTTGTTCCTAGCTTGGCTACCTCGAAAGTTATTCGAGAATAACTTTCCGCAGGAAAGTTATTCCGCAGGAAGGGAATACCATGAATACAATGAGCGACATTAGTGCAATTTTGTAAATGGCTCCAAAGTTCCGCATGTGTCACCCTCGTAAGTCCCCAATTACCCTTTTACAACGAAGGCATCACGCATATGCTAATAGGTCACAAGGGGGACTATAATCTCCCAATAATCGCGTCTTATCCTTCCCCGAGTGTGACACGCCCATCCTTCACTACCAAACGCCTTCCTGAGTCGCCCACCATTGCACAACAAATCCCCTCATGGGGCAGGTATAACTCAGCCGGCAAGCGCCCCGTCGTGACATTTTAATGCACCACCAGAGAGCCCGCAGGATTTTGAAACTTGGCACTCAACTTCCTGTGGACGGCATCAAAACTAATTTGAGAAATGCACACGGCATCTTAGAGGTGATTGAGCGTTCAATATGCCGCTACGTTCTCTACTTAGGATTCAGTGTCCGATTGGCAATACCTGGGCTCAATCTCGCAACTTTGCATTTCGCTCTTGCAGCAGCCTAAAGAGACGCGCTAGACGACAGCGCGTTGCGTTACGCTCGATGTCCCGACGCGCCGATAACTGCTCACAGATGCGGCGAAGGGCAGCTGCTCGGCTGGGCTCACTTGTACCGGGTGAGGTAACGCTGGCTGCTCGGACAAAACCGAATGAGTGCGGGATCTCATTTTACATGCCTCAAGAGACTTATGCGAAACCAGCGAAAGTCTGAAAAATGTAAAAATGAGAGTGCTTCTTCTGGGTCGTGGCCAAGGTACAACGTGAAGCTATATGTTCGCCTCCTGAATGATGTCTTGTCATTTGTATAAGAGCAACTAAATAAGAGATAAGAGACCATTTTATTTATATTTCATCGACATAATTGTAACTTTCTGGAGCTGTCATATGGCATCTGTAATGCCTCATCAAGTCTCTTATTATCAACTTTATTTTGAAACGTCCATAACTAAATATTAGCAATGTGCTCTTCTCGAGCAAAATTATCCATTCACTGTTGCAAATCCTGGCTAGCGACTATATCCCCGTTGACTGTCGCGCTTAAGGCGGCCGCACACTGGGCCATTCGGCGGGCGAGATTCCGCAAAAACGGAATGTCGCGAGCGACATTCCTAAAGCGGCTTTCCGCTTGTTTTCAGCAGTTTACAGGACCATTCGGCGGTGCGATTTTCTACTTAGTATTTTCAGGAACTTAATTTGAAACATTTTATGATAAATATAAACAAATGCAAACTAAATACATTTAAGCAAATACAATATTTGCTTATTCAATGCGATTATGCTATATTTCTGTACAATAAAGTTTAGTATATCTATTAATTTGACATAATTTCTGGAGGATGTTCCAAAAAAATAAAGCTCGTGATTAAGGTAAACAACCGTGTTTGTCGACAAATGCAAGAAACCTAAAGACAATTGTGGAGAGGCGCGTAGTAACCCATTATTGGAATAACCAATGAAGTGGATAAAAACCATTTAATATGGGGAAAGAAGTGCCGCTACGATTTTTATCAAGTGAAGTCTATTTCTCGGCTGCTCCATCAATAGTTGGTGAGTTTCAAGTTCCACAATTTCGGGTGTCCGCGGCGTCGCCGCGGAAAAAGCTGAACCGATCCAGCTTTTTCCGCAACTCCGCGGCTGTTCGCGCGCATGCGCACTCTACCCGCGGACAGCTAGCTGGCAGCGGTCGGCTGATAATTTTGTCGTTTCGGCAGCTGATTCGGCGTCCACGAAAGCGTAATGTCGCCACGGAATTGCGTTTTTGCGGAATGTCGCCCGCCGAATGGCCTAGTGTGCGGCCGCCTTTACTGAACAATGCGTTGACTCGACTCATCGCTATGTGAACGATGTCACGTGAGAAGTCATGAATATAACTTTCGTCGCCAAGTATCGGTCGTAACCTATATCTGCAGCCGGATGACTCTCGCGCGTTCCACATCAGTAGCAGCGGCAGGGAGCCCGCAGAGCTGCGTAACGGCTAACCTTGCAGGCGCACACAAATAAAAAGGGAAAGTCGGCCCACTCTCCGCCGAACCCTTCGCTCCGAACCTGACCGTCAGCACGGCGACGGAGCCACGTAACACGTGTGCAGATTAGCTGACTGTGTCCGTGCACGAGGCCGGACAAAACGCTCCGAACGTGTCACCGGCGGGCCGGTATGATAATTCACCCGCCTGGTCATCTCCGCCCCCCGCCGCGGCGGCACGTCTGCCGTGTTGTTGGTGCGACCTGTCCGCCCCGGGAGTCGCACGCAGCGCCGCGCGCACATCCCGGCCGGAACAGCACCCCACTCGCTGAGTGACCTCGTCCTGGTATGCGACTACCCTCGGCGGCACGCGCCCCGGGCCCATCGGGGCAAAGTGAAACTCTCTGGCGGCGCCGGCGGCTGGCGTCTGCGGCGGCGCGAGCCCCTCGCCACAGATGGACACGGACCGTCCCTCCGTATGCATAATGTCGCCGCGCGCTGCCGGTCACCGAGCGAGCCGCTGAATGAGGCCGCCGGCGGGCTAAATATGCCGCCGGGCTGCGAAAGAGTTTCACCCGTGTTCGCGCCGGACGGCGGTCAGATGTCGGTCCGAGATCGGTACCGGATGTTTGTGACCGCCGGCGCGTCGGAGGCGGCTGTGACCTCCACGGGAGGAGGAGCGGAGGGTAAGGGGAGGAGGAGCGGAGGGCATGGGGAGGGTGGAGCGGGTACATCAGGTGTAGTAAGACAGTCAGGGCACGATGGCGGGACACACAACAGGGGAGAGGCAGCCCGAGGTAGCTGATAAATGAATGCAGTTTACTGTATGCGGTTTTCCGCTACGAGCTTCATTCATTCCAGCATGGTTGGTTAGACAGCTAAGCCATGAAGTAACAATAAGAGGATGAATGTGATTTGATTGACAGCGACATACGAGTAGTGTGATCTCGCGAGTTGTTCGACTTGCTTGTGCATAAACCAATAATAGCACCTAACTATTTATTACTCGGTAACACTAATCTGTCACAATTATCTGAACACAAATGCTCATGCTTCATCGTGTCTCGACGGTCCAAGTGATGCAAAAATAAGTTAACGGGCTTTAAGTATTGCGAGTTTCCAGCGGCCAGAATGGGCCAGAAGGTCTAGACTCTATATCAAAATGCAGGCCAAGAAGCAGAACACTTATCTCCCTGATATAACCCGAAAGGTGAGCTACGTAGATGTAAGATTCTGCACGGAGAAACACTGGCCGATGGCGATGGATAGCCTACTGCAGAAGTGGATAAGAACAGTGACAGTAAATACGTCTACTAAAAAACTGCCATTAGGGCAAGTGACAAACGGTATATAAGCATGAACAACTGATGGGAGTTGATACGGCCTAGGAACTTGCAAAAAGTACGGAAGAACAAATAATTTGAAACACTCAAAATATACGGAGAAGTTCAGTTTAACTTTTCCGTACACATTCTTACGAGAACATACGATACGCACCTACAAGCTAATTCAAAACCAAATACATACACCCAATGGACAATAACGGGATTAATGAAAGGCACGTCATTTCTCAGTTCCCACGGTGAATGCTTAGTCTAAGCTTTATGTAGTCTGAGGCACGGGACTCACTGCGAGTGCCGTCTCGAGATACTTTTTAAACGCACATGTGTATTGTGTATTGTGTAAAGGCCTGGCTACACTATGCGTTTTCTTCGTGCGTTTTTTGCGTGTTTGCGTGTTTTGCGTGATATCGTTCTAGAAAAAAGAACGATATTACGTTTTTGTGATGTTTTTCACCTTAAATTTTAGTTACATAAGAGTTATATTAGCTTTTGTATATAACCAAAGTAAAAATTATATTGTTTATAACTGTTTTCCTAGAACGATATTACGCAAAACGCGCAAACCTGCAAAAACGCACGCAGAAAACGCGTAGTGTAGCCAGGCCTTAAGACGCAAGGTGGGCATCTGTGCATCCCTTCAACCTCGGAAACAGGCTGTCTGCACGTTTATATGCAGTCGAGTGGAACGAGTCTATGTAAGATTTAAGCAAAAACTACGTTTACTGAAAGCAAAGACTGATACAGTTTTGAGCGTGACAAGTCAGTGAGCATAGAACGCAGCTCATCCGTCAAAACTATGAATGTTAAAATTAGGAAAAGTAATTAATATTTACAGTGTGTGCACTACAAAACGGTGGGCTTAGTCGTCCGTGTCCGATTGTTCCTTTGGCGATGTGGCCTGTTTGTGCGGCCAATAAGAGACACAGAAAATGGAAACAAAGTCCCCAACTGGAAGTTCGAACAGTTATAGCCATGGGAAAAGTCACTGAGATAATTTCAGCCAAAGCGCTGAACACGAACGCAATAAGCCAATAAGTGGGATGGCTGAAGAGGAATGATACGGAGAGAACCGGAGCGACCACGCTGACACAAGAAGGTAGAGGAAAGGGAGAAGGAGGGACGGGACGAGACGAGACGAGACGAAATAAGACCGAGACACAGTCAGAAACAGAGACAGAGAGAAGAGAGAGCATCAGCTTAACCTCAGTCAAACAGGTGCATTTTTATTTCAACACGCATTTTTAGTTCAATTCTTTTCCTTCTCCATGCTCCGATCGATAGAATATCAGGAAACTCTGCCCACCATTGAGAAAAATGCCAAATATCCAACCAAAGATAGCATGAATCCCAATAGATCCATGGATTGACTCCTTCACAATGTTGGATTTCAATGCCAACTGGTTAAGCCAGAAGGGACCGGCTTGGCCACTAACTCGTACCTACTCCAAAACCTGTTGGCGGTTGGAAGTCGTGGGACTACTACGTTCATTGAAGAAAAATATGATGAAAGAGAGATTCACGGTCACTTAGCTAGGCGTGGAAGTGAGCAGTGGCGCTACCGTTTAACCCGCGCCCTGCTGGGGGGGGGGGGTGTTTGAACACCCCCCCCCTTGTGGTTTTTCACGAATATCTAAAAACGGCGGCGCGGAGCGCCGCCGTTTTTGGTACACCTTATCATACATCAATTCTACACATGTTGTGAAAATTTCAGACCAAGGTCATTCAAGGTCAGGTCACCAGGTCACTTGAAGTGACCTCACTTCATAAAAAGTTTCAATGTCTGTCATAGCTACACCGAGTGACCGATCGCTTTGAAACTTTCAGCGATTGCTAAGAGCAATAGCATGTACAAAATGCATATCTCAGAATTTTGATATCTATGACCTAAGGTCAGGTCAATTTTGCGACCTCCCCATTACCTATAAGTCAATGGGAGAAAATTGAAATGCGCCTCTTTTGGATGAAAGACATTATAAACACTCCCAAACACCGAATTACAAGTGTTTTAGACACACTGAACATGAAAATGGTGTCCGTGACCCTTGTTTATGCCCTGAGGTCATCTTAGGTCACGAATGGTATCTTCTAACAGTTTTTCGCAAATAACTTTTGATAGAGGCATGCTAGAGCGATGAAAACGCATTAGATGTGTTCAGCTCGACGATACGGATCGACTGATATGCAACATGACCCTTTCCGGTCAGGTCATGACCTTGACCTGAGGTCAAATTTTCAAGTTGACCTTTCAAGGTCAAGTTATAGTTCATTCGATGCGTCTTGACGAGAGGAACACGATGCCGGTAAAAGTAAGCTCGTACAAGGCTTGGGTCAAAAGTTATTGCAGAAAAACTGTTTCCGAAAAAAATCGGTTATTTTTGCAATTTTTGCCCCCTGCAGGCAAAACCGTTGACGTTAGGTCAAATCTGAGAGAATCACTCAGAAAGGGCGTTAATAGGGCTATCGAATGCGCTTTTCCGCGGCGCTGTAGCTCTATTGGTTCCCGAGTTATGCGTTGGCTTCTTGGAAATTTTCGACATTCGACCTGGAAATCGGCGAAATTTTGTCTTCAATGACCTCTGGTGACCTGACCTTTGACCTGACCAAAAAATTGACTGAAATGATTTCGTCATTATTTTTGACGCTCTTTCGAACGCCGCCTTCCGCGTATCGCTACGTGGCCCAGGAGCCGAGTTACAAGGGGGGGGGGTGTTCAAACACCCCCCAGCAGGGCGTGGAAATACAGGACCCCCAGCCGGGCGCGGGTTAAGGCAAGTTCCACTGTGAAAAACGACTCGTCTCAAACTGCGCAAAGGGCAGCATGATTGATGCTGTGCGAAGGCAATATCGGATCATAAAGTGTCGTCTAAACAGGTTGATCGATTTCCGCGACATGTGAGATGAATGCACGGTAGTCGCACGTGTTTTATCACAACGTCACAGACCATAAATCATCATAGAGTCGCCACCTGGCAGCATCGTGACCGAGCATTTTTTGCTCTGTCAGTGATCTGTTCACCACACCATTTACAACCATAAACCAACAGTGGGGTGCCTTAGTTCTGATCAGCCACCGTCCCACGTCTCCCCGTAATCAGCGCCCAGCCACGGAGAGGCACGTGGTCGGAGGACGCGCTACCGGATGTGATTCGAAGAGAGACGACGGCCGGGCGGCGGCCGAGGGGCGGCGCCGGCAGAGGGGCCCGCGCCGGCCGCCCTGTCCTGCACCGCAGCGCACCCCGCGGCCGTCCTGTGCACGCGGCCGCCAGTGAAAGTGCCCCCTATGGTAATGTCGCCTATATATCGGACGTTCCACGTGCAGACGGTACCAGTGTGCATCCATCCGGCGTGCAACGATGAAGGTGCGTGCCAGTGAGCTCCAGCGGTGTCCGGCCCGCGGTGGGAAACAGTGCGTGGAGCGCGGCTGATGTGTGGACGGTGCGACCCGGACCAAGCAGTGACCCGCCCTGACCCGGCGGCCGCGCACCGCTGCCAGTGGATAGAGGAATCACTTTTTACATATTGTGCAATTTTGACATTCATTTTGAACTTTTGAGCAAATTTCCAAATTTGTACATTTTTTGGTGCACTTTGCACTATTTTGAGCCAGTGCATTGATAAATTTGGCGAAGATTTTCACCTCTTTTTGCTAAGTTTGCAAAACAAAAATGTTTTATTACTGAGTAGCACAGCTGCTCAGCCTAGCTATTGTGATGTTACGTATCAGCACATATTTTTGATAATGTTCAGCCATGTTCAGTTCAGCCAAAGTGGTCTTAAGTTCTAAGAACTTTAAAACGACAAATGTTGTGAATCAAATCCAAATGTTGAAATATAAAACATATTAAAGATATCAAGTACCTCGAATATCTAAGATAATCGGGTTACTTTATAACGTGACGGATCATGCCTGTATCTCTTGATCAGTTTCTTTGGCCTCTTCTGGTATATTTCTATAAATTTACCATCCAACTTCCCACAACTTCCCATGTAGTCTTGGTATTTACCTACTCATCTTTGCACATTTATTTACTGATTTCTTCTTTTTATATCTGTGTATTTTCGAACTTTTCTATAGTAAAATGCGATATAAGGATTTCACAAAACAGGACGATTCAAGCTCATAGTTCATATTGTTCATGCAAACTTATTATCGTTGAATGATACAGCCCGGTACAGAAAGAGCTCTCGAAGTGCTCTAGCAAAGAAATAGCGCATCGCAAACCAAAAGTATCGCGGGCTATCAGTTTCAATGAAAATCACTTACTTCCCTGAAAGATATATCTGCGACAATGTCAGACAAAACGTTCCTTTTGATTTGACAAGACGTCGTTGATAATGATGATTTGGGTTTAAGGGGTATAAAGTAACATTAATCCAATTGAATTGATCTGAATTAAAAAACTAGTGCCTAAAAACCATTTGTCTTGATCAGGTTAATTTCGAAATTGAGCTTCAGAGATCAGATGTATCTAGGTATGCGTAAAATTAAAAAATTGCAAGCTTGACTGACCGGCGTAACGTCCAGCTAAGGCGAATTAACCCTCGCATGTGTAGGGGGGGGGGGGGGTCGGATGGACCCCCCCCATGGTTTTTCGCGAATAACTCGCGTAAAAAGCGGCCGATCGCGACGAAACTTTCAGTACCCTCGCATTGATCAATTTTACACCTACCCTGAAAATTTCATGACCCTGACCCAAATGACCTTTGACCTGTGACCTCTTTTCCGAGACCATGTTTGGCCGGAATCGCGATTCGGCGTACTTCGGCTCGCATTAGCCGTGCGTTTGCAAGCTTTTCGTGGTTTCAAACGTTCAAACATGTGATTTGATGTTGTTCCCATGCATTAGGGTGGGTGTCAAGGTCACCTGAAGGTCAGGTCAGGTCATTGACCTTTGGTGACCTCGGATGACCTCGGTTCACTTTTTCGAGTTTTGCATGTTTCTAGGCTAGTTTTTGGAGCTGAACTCGAATTTAGCAATCATTTGAACATTTACGAAGTAGTTTTGGTGCCTTCGTAACATGTTACGAAGCTGTCAGAGGCGTTTGACACGTACTACGAATACCCGTCACAACGCCTACTGGTTGACCTGACCTGACCTGACCCGACCTGGTCTAAATGCTTAAAGACATCATCTCTGATCAAAACTAACACGATATTCGTGATCAGCACCCCGAAAAACCCCTTAGCAGCCACACTTTACGACTTTCTAATAGGTCCCGATTTTCCCGACTTTGGGTCATTGACCTGACCTGGAAGGTCAACCAATGACCTAGGACCTTAAAATTGGGTATCATCGGCTTCCTCTCGTCACGGGCAACACGCTCGTTTTTTCCGCGAAGCTCTAGCTCGATCAGGGGCCAAACGGCAAGGGGGGGGGGTCCAACCGACCCCCCCCCCCCTACACATTAGAAGCTGGAAAACGCCGCACACATGCGAGGGTTAAGCATGTAATGTAGCAGTGCCTAGGAGATGAAATAATCTAGAACAACTAAACTGAAATGTCTTATTATTGCTCCATCTGGTGAGCAAATAGAGTTTGCACTTAATGCACAGGCTAAAGGGCTTGAAAAGCCAAAAGATACAGGTTGAAACTTAAGGCGTACGTATACTTATTACTTATAAAGCTGCAGACTTCAGAACATGCAGGGCGACCATTTTAGCCTTTGACGTTAAATGCGTATGCAAATGGCATACATAAAAGTTATTTTTGCCTAATTTCCAGCGCAAAAAAGTAGTCTGACATCGAACTCTAAATAAATCGTTCGACTTTTTTGCCCGCTCAATGTATCTGAAAATAAAAATATCACTAGAGATATATTCAAGTAAAAAGTAAATAGCGCCTCAAATCAATTAGCGGATAATCTGTGACGATTTCAAAGTACAATAAAACCTCGCTATAAAAATATTACCATCAACATGTCATTGAGTACAAGAGTTACCAGAGTTACCAAGAGTTACAATTTTGTTTAAAATGTACTTAAATTCTCCTGATATTCCGGATAGCTTCAAATTTCGTGCCGCCGTCTACCTGCGGTACGTTAACCCTAGAACGCCTAGGGGGGGGGTTGTATCAACCCCCCCCCTGAGGTTTTTCGGAAATAGTGCAAAAACGGCGGCGCGCAGCGCCGCCAAATTTTGGGTACCTTATGGGGCAACCTTTGCGCATCTTTTGCCGAAAAAAAATTGATCGGGTCATGTCAGGTCACGGAGTTATGACGTCATAAGAGGTACAGCCTCCGGCCGGATTTTCACAAACTGAGTGCCAACGCCCGAGGTTTCCTGCCGGTGGTACGGACATCGGTTGATGGATCGTGATGAAACTTCCCATGCATGTTGGGGCAAGTATTGGCTATCATATGGTATAAGAAATTTGACCGGGTCAGGTCAGGTCACGGAGCTATGACGTCACAAGAGGAACAGCGTCCGGTACTATTTTTGAAAAGCGCCCGAACCACTATTTTGCTAATTCTTGTCACCTCAATGGGAATATGCAGCAATATTAGCTTCTACAGGGAGCAAATGGACCTCCCAAATCCAAAAATACAATCAGATTTCAAAAATTTAAATTTTGATTTTTCGAATTTCTGCCGCCGACTGTGACCTTGCCGACTTCCGGCGCTCCCAACGCGCCATTTTTAGAGCTAGGGAAACGAAATACATACCAAACGATAGAGAATTGATCAAGGAACACGATAGTGAAGGTTTCAAGTCGATATCTCCCACCGTTTTGCCGCAATCGCCGCCGAAAGTTGAAAAAAGTCTATTTTTCCGAAAATTTGACCTTTGACCGGTCAAAAGTAGGTCAAATGTTGACCTAGGACCAAAAAATATACCACCAATCGCGAGATCTCGTTGAGAGCAATCCGTTGGTCTTTTCCGCTAAGCTCTACGACCTTCCGTTTCGAAACGCCAGGGGGGGGGTCGTAACAACCCCCCCCCTGGTCGTTCGTGTTATGAGAAATGGCCTGGTCGTGCGAGGGTTAAACTTTCGATCCAAATTATCACCGGTGAACCGGGCGCGGGCAAGGCTGTGAGGTGGGTTCGTGGTGTCATTCGCAACAAACACTGCTTAGCGAAGCACCCAGTCCAATAGCCTCCTGTTCATCCATCCGGACAATTAAAAAAAAAAAACTAAAACCTTGCTAGAATAAAACTGTAGTGCGATGTCATCTAACATCGCAATGTCAATGAGCGTTTTGTGAAACAGACACCATGGCTTACGACATTGTTCTTTCCGAATAGCTAATGGGCGAATTGGTAGAGTCAGGGACCGTGCTAAGCAAGGCTTGTCGCGCAGGTCCCGACCAAACCTGTCCGATCGGGTAATCCCAGGCAATGATAAAAGTGTGGATGTCAAAGATAAGCGCACCCATCAAGGCCGTCCCACTTATTGACCTAAATGGTTACAAGACACGAGTGCTCCCACCAATCGAAAACCATCCCCGACAAGAGATATATTGAGCGCCGGAACCACTCGAACCCTGGTTAAATCAACCATTTAATTTTTCAGTCCCGATGAAACTGAGCAAAGGATCGATCGAAAAATGTCAACATGGGACCGATTAAAATGACAAAACAAAACCTGTCGACTGCAACTCCCTTCTGATGAGAGAAAAATATAACATAAAACGATACTTTCTCCCAGGACTTAGGGAGTCAATAAAACCATGCTGAGCCTCGAATGCAAATTTCAAAAGTAGGATATTATCTGTGAGCACTCGAGGTGGAATGCGGACTCTCAGCGCACACCCGGTGTACCACTAACCTAGTGTAAAGCGAGGTTCACTGCAACTCGCACGATATTTAAATCCACTAGCGAAAGTTTGTGCTCAATGCGGTCCCCAGTACCGACTTCAGTTCATGCTATCAATGCATGTATCTGCTAGAAATCGTGCAAATGCATTCGGCTTTCTCTGGCGGAGTGCCTCCGCGCAGATGTCCCCGTATGCATACAATGCCAAGCCGGCGTATGTTCGACCCCTTTACCCGGAACAGCGTCGGGCGAAAGTCATGATGTAAATGTCCCCAGAGTCGCCGCTGTAACGTCATAGGGCATGGGTGACCCTGCCAACGCAAGGCGCGGTGACGCAAGCACGGCTGCAGCCGTCCGCCCAGGATAAGCCCGACCCTTTCTTCAGCGAGCCGTTTCGGAGATGCATTAGCATACTGCAGCGTGGTGGGGAATAGGCAGTAGCCATACCGATAGTCAGAAACGTGAGATATCCTTCCGACTTGGAATGAGATGCCCTGCCGCCACCGAAGCATCAAGGGTGCTGAGATGAAAGCCGACCGCCCTTTCAGCCTCCTGATGTCACCACACCGGGTCAGGGTCGCTGCTCATCCCGGAGTGCCGCCGCCCATACTAACAAGTCACGCCGACGGCTAATGTAGCGGTGTTGTTGTCGAGGGGAGGGTGTTTGGCCGGCGCCAAATGCATCAGCCGCCCACTGTGTGTCCCGTCCGAGCCTGGCCACGTTTTTGTGCGCCCTCTCTGACCGAGGTCCCGTCTGCCGCAGGTCTTCCTGTTCTTGGCCGTGGTAGCGCTGGCGTCGGCTGACACCGGGGGCTACGCGCCGCCGCAGTCCGACTACGGCGCACCGGAGCCGAGCTACGGCGCACCGGAGCCGAGCTATGGACCGCCGGAACCGAGCTACGGACCCCCGGAGCCGAGCTATGGACCCCCGGAGCCGAGCTACGGTCCCCCAGAGCCGCACTACGGACCCCCTGAGCCGCACTACGAGGAGCCCAAGCCCCACTACCGTCCGCGTCCTGTCGGCATCAAGCAGTCGCTGCTCAACTCGCTGTTCAGCTTCAAGGGCCCCCAGATCCGGCCGGTGATTCGCAAGCTTCCCATCTGGATCCCGTCGCTCAAGTTCTTCCCCAAGCACGTGGCCATCCCGATCCCGTCGCCCACGCTGGTGAAGGTGCCGGTGCGCGTGCCCAGGCCGGTGCCGGTCGCCAAGCCGTACCCTGTGGCCCGGCCGGTGCCCGTGCCGGTCAAGGTCCACTACGAGGTGCCTGTGCTCCACACCAAGGAGAAGGGGTACGGCGACGGCGGCCACGATCACGGCCACAAGCCGGCCGCCGGCTACGGCGCGCCCAAGCCCTCCAACGAGTACGGCGCGCCGTCGTCCGGCGACTCGTACTCCAGCTACTGATCGACGCGACGACGCGTGAGATGACGAGGTGCGTGTCGGTGGGGTATGGGGAGAGGAGGGGTGGGAGGGAGCGGAGTGTGGTGTCCAGACTGATCACTGAGCTGTGGCAGATCAATAATGGTGTAGCGCACGGTTTGACTGATTGTTGGGATGATGTTTGATCTTTGGGTTGCTTTATGTTGATTTTCCTTGTGTATCCTGTGAACCATACTAACAGTGTTTTTCCTCTCTTTCTCGGTAGATCTTGAGAGCGCTGCGTTCGCAGCCGCATCGGATCGACTCATCATCTGCTCAAACTGCCGGGCGACCGGTCCCTGCGCTGCCGATCGGCGTCCGCACCGCTCTGACATTTCGTCTCGAAACAGCCATCAAATCACAGGGAGCTGGCGTCGGCCAGTCACATTTATTACAAAAACTTGTACTCAGGGACCGCCAGGCAGTCCCACGAAATCCGCACGCAGCGCAGCCGCCATGCCACCCAGTCCGCTGTCTTGCTCAGCGGCTGGGCCCTCTTCTCTACCTGAGTGTCTTCCCCGGCCCGGTGCCACCCGCCACAAACGCACCTCACATGACACCTTCAGGCCGGCCCGTGTGGCCAAACTCATAAATCAAAACAGTGAGCATCAACATTGGATAGGAAATCAGTCGAGCGCCGCTGTGAAACGCTCCAACTCATCCGCACATTGGAGGTCCGGCGCCGGGCCGACGGGAAGCTGGTTGTTATGTTCTTTGCAAGTGGCTTCAAGTGTCATTGTTAAACTAGCTATAAGTGATTTATCAGAACATGCCGGCAATACGCGAGTCCTAGACTGCGCAAAGTTCGCACATTTCACAATACTCATCGTGTGATATCATTATGTGACGAGCGTGTAACCGGTGTGGATAATATATGTGTGTGAACAAAACGGAATATTCTCAATTGGAAAAGCAGCCACCAATATCACAAAAAAACATACTTGGTGGGTTGACGACACGACTGGCTACATATTGGTATAGTTCGTTTTTTCTAAGTTCGACCCTCACTGTAAACATCTTTTTGAACATAGCACGAGAATTGCTAGCTGAATTACTTAGAAAACTGGTTAGCGCACATTGTACTGGAGACATGAATAATATTTTCCAAATAAGATTTTTAACACCGATGATATACCGTTCTGTTAAACGCCGTGCGATCTATTGATCAGTTCATTTATAATTTCTGACAAGACGTCTATCCCTGTGGGGTTGTATATAAAGGCAAATACGAGCTAGCAGTCTGGAAAATAAGAGCCAGGGAGAAATAATTTTGAGTAAAATTAATCGTCTGTGAAATCAATGTGCGCCAGCCAGTTTTCTCAGTAATTCAGCCAGCGATTCTCGTGCTGTGTTCAAAGAGACGATTACAGTGAGGGTCGAACTTAAAGGAAATAGTTCACTTTTTAACATGGGTTTTGAACTGGAATAGCAGTTCCGTAGCCTGGGCTGAGACGAGCATAAATCAGGAGCTTTTACAGCCCAACGATCACCCTAGGCAAAGATATTCTATTTCTCGTCCCGAAAAAGGTGTCTTGCGTTGAGGATGTGTGCCTTGCATATATTCCAATCCAGTATGAAAAGAGCATGGGTACCGAAAATTCTTCAGAAACTAGAGAAATTATCTACGAGAACTCTAGAGAAATTCTCGTACTGATCAATAAGGACATTCAGCAGCAGCAGATCGCCCAAATGCCGGTGGCCGCGATAATTTCTCTAGTTTCTGAAGAATTTTCGGAACCCATGCTCTTTTCATACTGGATCGCCTGTGCCTTACAGAAACTGAAAAGTTCTTCTTATATCAAAATATAGAAAATAATCTTTTGTTATAAATAGGTTTTATTTTCTTTGCTGATCATTTTGAACATAAAAAATCATAAATCCATTGCAAAAAAAATAATTTCGTGAAAGTGAACTATTTCCTTTAAGAAAAACGAACTATAGAACATGGCACACCCTTCCCAATGAAAATGACGCGAGATGAGACTATCTACAAATGAGCCACAATGATACGGCAGTCACATGTTTACAAAAGGAAACGACTATCTTCCCGAAACACCAAGCTGCACATCGTAAATATTTGATATCGTCTCATTGCATGGACCGAAATACCTAAATAAACACGTGAGATGTCTTGGTATCGGTAGAACAAAGAAAACAGAGACCAGCTTAAGCACAACAAAGGCACACGATCTGATGCTGGTATGTAATAATGGCATAAAACTAACAAATAATTATAGGGGAAAATTATACCAAGTTCTTTCGTAACTACGATGAGTGGCAAACTGAGTAATTACTGAGGAGAAGTGTCTTAGGAATAAGATACACCGAGAAAAAGCTCCTCAGCTGTAAAGCAAGCCTTTTGACAAATACAATGTCTCCCTAGGAAAAAGGATTTTTACAATCTTACTTATGAAAGTTTGAGCAGGAAATGAAATTCGCGGTCCTCGAGACTACGGTTTAAAAAGACAACTTCAAAAACATAAACAACTCCAAAACAGCTGTGACACCGTCATAGAACGCACAGTTAGCCAGAGTTTCACTAGGCCACTGCCAGAACAGTACGGCAGTTCACCTGACACATATATAACACAGCCACAGTGTCACTAACAACCCACCCCGACACAAAACTGACACTGGAACCAGAAAATAATAAAAAAGTAATATACAATACACAGTTTGATCTATGCCACCTCATCACGACACTGTCAAAAACCGAGATAACTGCTGCCGTCAGCCGGCCAGCGGACCCCTCACTGACTCACATCTGAGGACACCCCGATCACCCAGCGGACGGCGATACCTCCTCACTGCGCGGCCCTCCTGGCACCAGCGGAACGGGAGCCGCGTGTGGCCCTCGCTGGCCGGCCGACCGATGCTGTAGGCGCCACCACCTGTCAAGAGAGGAGAGCACGCGGGTCACATGGTCGTCCGAACCCATTGATGGGTGACATACTGGGATATGGGACAAATAATATACAAAATTATAATTATAAAGACAATTATGGGGAAATATTGATTGGTAATCCAAAGCGTAACAAGGTAACTAAACCTAAAAACTAAACGACTAAACGACTAAACGTAACTAAACGACGAAAATGTTGCCTATATGTTGCCGCAACAAGACTGAATGATTCAGAGGCATGCCGATTATAGTTGTACTTGCAATAGAATATATGCTACACGCACCATACCGTACATTACAGCCCACCGCTAAAGTAATGTGCGGTTTTACCAATCTCAACGGATGGCTTTGACTGGCGATTTTTTTTTAAAGCGGAGTGATCGAAAAGAAGACGTCAATAGATAAAGTTGCAGCTGCAAGGGTAACGGTACAGGTTAGCTACATTCAAAGTTTCATTGTGGTCTGGCTAATCATTCCTAAGCTTCAGAAGCAGAACATACCCAGGACTGAAACCGCACATTACTTATGCCGTGGACTGTACATAAACGATTACAAGGGGACATTTGACCGTCTGGAGCATTTGGCCCTCCGGTAGCGCTCGAAATGGACGAAATTCCGTCATTTTCATTGCAAAAAAAAAACACTTAGCAAGTTTTATTTGGAAACGATTGTAATAAATATTACATAAGAACATATGAAGCGGAGTCCATTTTTGTTAATGCGAGAACCTTTGAGTATGCCCCTGCAGGGTCTCAAAACACCTTTTCTGCATCCACCAGTGATGCAGTATGTAACTAAATCACCTCCAGAAAATACAGTTATTCGTTCCATAGGTATTGTTTGCGCAGATAAAAAAGTTTCCATGTGCTTTAGGGCAGCGCTAAAAAAAAAAAAAAACTGAAAACGTCATGGTGCTGATACTTTTAGAGAGGCAAAAGAAAACAAGGTGCATCTGCATCGAATGCCTGTTTCCAGATAAAACTTTATGCTATAGAGAAAGTGAGCGGCTTCACTGAAGGTGGTTGACTCGTTCTGAAGCAGTCATGGCGTGAGGCGCATGGAAGGAGTGGTAGACTGCGCCGCACGACACGAAGGTATGCGGTACAGTCTATATAGCCGGGGATACCGGACCGCGATTTTTCCAAGTGACGAGTAGCCAAACCTTTTAGCGCCACCTCTTTAGTGACGCAATTTGCTGGCGAAGTGCCAACAGGTGCATGACACTTCTTGTTCCTCCGTTATAATTTTTTTGCCCATCAACAGCGACTAATACAAATGCAAATACCCCAGTCATGCGCGGGTTAAGCGCTCCTACGCGTGCTGTGGTTGGATTTCGGGCAACAAATACCCGCACGCGTGACCTTAGGTGACCTTTCTACGAAGCCGGAGGTCAAACAAGACCGATCATTTACGAGCAGTCATCAAAATACAGGCTAAAGGTCACCTTGTCGCTAGGCACCTGCGGCGGCGGCCCAATCGGGCATGACCGTTAAGCAGACTTCGGTGAAATGTGGAGCCCCCATGCGAACAATTAAGCGTGTCAAAACCCAAATACGAACAAGAGAGACCCTGGAAGATGTCCCCAGGTCAGGCCAGTCACGTTCAGTCAAAACTCCTGAGAATGTGACTGCTATGTCTCAGTCCATCGCAAGGCAACGCACGGCTCAGAGTTCGGACGGCAAGAAGTGCCCAAGCGTCTCCATTGACGCCGATGGGAAGATAAATAGGACGGTTATGACTTATGAACGTCTGCTCGACAGTGACGTCATTCCATGGATTATGAGGAAGTATTCCGAAGTCAATTTCGTTTTCCAGCAGGGCAGAGCACCCGCCCACAATGCAAGTTCCATCCAGAACAAGCTAACGGAGGAGCTCGGAGGGAGAAACCCATTCCTGGTGTAAGGAAGATGTCCCCCCCCCCCAGTCATCCGACCTGAACTCCCTGGACTAACGCATCTCGAGCGTATTGCAGGAGGAGGTTCAGGGAGTGTTCTATCTCAATCTAGAGGCCCTGAAGGCACACGTCGTGAAGACGCGGGAGGCAATGGACACCACTAACACCATCATAACATGCAAGTCTTTCCGTCCCTGTGTGGAGAAAGCCATCGCCACTGAGGGGGGTTATATCGAGCGGGAGGTGAGTGAAAGTATATGGCTTGACATGGCAAATCAATTTAATTTGGTGTTTGTGTTAAATATATGTATGTATAATGTATACGCTCTGGTTCCATTTGTTTGTCGAAATGCATGAATGCGCTAGAAGTTTTTGCGTACCCTGTATGTAAGAAATTTGCTATACCAACTAACCAAATACACGCTTTAAATTTTACTGTATTTTCATTCACAGCCACGGGCCAGAATCACCTTCCTGACTAATGGCCAGAGGCCAGTAACCCACTGAGAGCGGATTGAGGTCCCGGGAGGTCACATGTCGCAGTGTGGCCAACTTCCCTGCTGGCACCGTGCCAAGAGTACCGGTCTGCAGCGAAGAATACCAATAGCTGGTCTACACACGTGCGCGTGATGGTTTTCCAGTAGTTTCATATGAGGAAGGAGTGGCGAATGTGTTTTACAATATAAGTTTCTGGGCCAGGAAATCACGACGGTGACCATTTGTGTCAGGAACGCAGTCTCAGCCAATGCAGGCAAAGGAACATATCCGAACTTATTATGGACTCATGAGAGTCATTGTGTTTTGCACCGATTATCAGCACATCATTATCAAATTAAAAGACGAAGACATTCAGAAAATAGTCAACAGTAGGGCATTCACCAGCTTTGAACATTTTTTTATATATATAAATTTAGTTCCAATGTTTGAATGGACGGATTGACAGAGCCGAGGCCCACGCTAAGCAGAGCTTGTTGCGTAGACCCCGACTCCTACCGCCCGATCGCGCAATTCCAGGTAACGGGAGAATTTAGGTGCCAAAGTTTAACGTGCCCTTCAAAGCCGGACACGGCCTGTCCCACTCAACTGACTTCAACTGACTACGGATGCTCCCACCAACCGCAGACCATCCCCGTCAGGAGATGGTCTGCAGCATTACAGGTTGCTTTGTCTGACAGAGGCCCGGCAAGCGGCTACTGAGGCGAGAATCACTGGGCCAGGCTCACCACTCACCAGCAGTGCCAGTCACCTGCACCTAAAGCCGGCAAGGAGCTCATGCATATACAGCAATACCTACATTATGTCCGACACCTTTCCAACACAGAGAGCGCCAGTGGTCCCCCTGACTGTTGCAAAAGGTGGTGAAAGTTGGCAGTTGGCACTACGCGGGTTTATATCTATTCTGATTTGCATTTTGCATGATGAATGCGTATGTTTCAGTGATGCAGACTTGCTGAAGCCTTTTGAGTTCTCTTATAACTTGTGGAAAAATTGGCGAACAAAATAGGGCAGGTGAAACACTTTTTGCGATAAAAATTTTAGTGCCGTGATGCTGCATGGATCCAATTTCGACGACAAAGAGGAGGGACGGGAGCTTGTTGCGACACCTTTGAATATTTTGGGTCCTTAAAAATAAAACAAACATTTAATTGGACACCACACCAGGATCACGGATGTCCAATATCATTCAAATTTAAACGAGGTAAGCTGCCGGAGGTAGCAACGTTAAAAGCAGTTGACACTCAGTTGTTCGATTGCTGGGGCATTCCACGATAGATCGTACCAGGCCCGTCACCCTCATCTCTCAGATTTTAATGAAAATCGGATCTAAGGGTAATCATAGGCCCCAAAGACGCCTGGCAAAATATCAGACTTCTCAGATCAAAACTTTTTGAGTTATATTGCATTACATTTTTTTTTAACTTCGGTTTATAACGGCGAGTTTGATGGCCTATAACTCAAGAACGGGTTAAGCAACCAACAAACGGTGAACAGCACTAAGCTTGCGATGAGTCAATGATTAATATAACTTTTTTAAAAATTCCAAAGAAAAATTTTCTTTGTTGAACACAAATCGTATTCTTTTTTCATTTGCCTTAAATGACTTTTGGGACCAAAATTTTTCACATTTTTATTTTTTTTTTTCAAAATGAACTTCATGTCATTGCAAATCGACATGTAAAAAAATAGAAAGGTGTTCTTTCTATAAGTTCCTCATTTTCCCGCAAAGAAAATGGGTTTCGAGGGGGTTAACCCTCGCCGGCACAGGGGGGGGGGTTGATGCAACCCCCCTAAGGTTTTTCGTGAATAACTCGCGTAAAAAGCGGTCGATTGCGACGAAACTTTCAGTACCCTCGCATTGATCAATTTTACACCTACTCTGAAAATTTCATGACCCTGACCCCAATGACCTTTGACCTGTGACCTCTTTTCCGAGACCATGTTTGGCCGGAATCGCAATTCGGCGTATGTCGGCTCGCATTAGCCGCGCGTTTGCAAGCTTTTCGTGGTTTCAAACGTTCAAACATGTGATTTGATGTTGCTCCCATGCATTAGGGTGGGTGTCAAGTTCACCTGAAGGTCAGGTCAGATCATTGAACTTTGGTGACCTCGGGTGACCTCGGTTCACTTTTTCGAGTTTTACATGTTTCTAGGCTAGTTTTTGGAGCTGAATTCGAATTTAGCAACCATTTGAACATTTACGAAGTAGTTTTGGTGCCTTCGTAACATGTTACGAAGCTATCCGAGGCGGTTGACACGTATTACGAATACCCGTCACAACCCCTAGGTACCGGTTGACCTGACCTGACCTGACCCGACCTGGTCTAAATGCTTAAAGACATCATCTCTGATCAAAACTAACACGATATTCGTGATCAGCACCCCGGAAAACCACATAGCAGCCACACTTTACGACTTTCTAACAGGTCCCGATTTTCCCGGTTTTCGGGTCATTGACCTGACCTGGAAGGTCACCCGATGACCTAGGACCTTAAAATTGGGTATCATCGGCTTCCTCTCGTGACGGGCAACACGCTCGTTTTTTTCCGCGAAGCTCTAGCTCAATCAGGGGCCAAACGCGAGGGGGGGGGGGGTCGTACCAACCCCCCTTGTGCCGTCGAAGGACTCAAAATGGCCTGTGCCGGCGAGGGTTAATACGAACCCAGCACGCCGTTTCGCTTCTAATAGAGCTAGAGCCTCGCGGAAAAAACGAGCGTGTGTGCCGTTACAAGTCGCAGCGATTGGTACCCGATTTTAAGGTCTCAGGTTAACCGGTAGCGTCTGAGGTCAGGTTAAGTGACTGAACTTACGGGTTCGGTTTTTAGTAAATAACTTCGCAAAAAAATGGCCGCAGAGCCGCGATTTTGGCATCATTGTGTTCGCCTAGCTCAGGTGCGTCGAATGATATGATTTTTGTTTGGGTGAGATCAACTTAAGTAGTTGACCTCGGGTCAAGGTCAGGTCAGAGCCCCTCAGGTCACGAAGCTGGGCAAAGGATATCATATGGCATATCATTCGATTCGGAAGGTCTTTCCGGGTCTATTGGTGGCTTTCCCGACTCTCTAGCTTAATTTGATCGGGAGTTATTGACGAAAAACTCGTACGACCCTAGTGACGTGATGATGATGATGATGATGATGATGATGACGTCATAAATGACGTCACGCAAGGCTAACAATGCAAAAGTGAAGCATTGGACTTTGCAAGGAGTGCATGAAATCACGATACCATGTACGTGAGATAGTTTTAGATCATACTCGGCGCCAAAATAACAGTTTTTATATTTCCCCATTGACTTACAACAGTGATGTCACGTGACCGACCTGACCTTATATGACCTTTAAAAATTCCCAGATATACAAGTTGTGAGACCTCTGGAGGACACCATATATGCGTCCTGTAACTTTCATCTCGGACAGCTATGGTCATTGGTGTCCAAAACAATGACAGAACCAAACAGCCTTTTTCACTACCGTGCTTATAGGAAAGAGGGTTGGATGAACCCTCTTTTTATTTTTTTTTCAGATGAGTCGGACTTTAATTGAAATATCAGCAACCCGTAATGTCACTAGGCAACTTTACCACGCCATTTGTAAGCTCCCCTCCCGAAATCACTATTTGAGACCGTTATCGTGACGCAAAATAAATACATTTATAGAAAGAACACCTTCCTAATTTTTTGCATACTTTTTAACAATGAGCCAAACATTTTTTAAAGGAAATAAAAATTCAAAAAAAAAATTCGGTCCCAAAGTCCAAAAAATACAAATAAAGGAAAACTCGATATGTCATATATCAAAAGAGGGTATTTTTCAAAATTTCAAAAATGCATATTAATCTCTGTTTCATTGCAAGTTCAATGTATATAACATTTGGCATTTGAATAATCTGTCTTCGAGTTGCAGCCCGCCAAACTGAGCGCTGCAAAGCAAGATCCAAAAAATATTATACTCCATAACTAAAAAAATATTTATCTGATAAGCCTAAAATTGTGACAGGTGGATTCAGAGCCCCTGATAACCCCTGAGACCGATTCTCGTCAAAATCCGAGAGATGAGGGTGTCAAATTGGAAAAAATGGTACGATCTATCGTGGAATGCCCCTGCTTTAGATTTAGATTAATCTAATGCACATTAAATGCAAATGCATTACGTTGCGTGCAGTGCACTTGCGCAGTGCTGCGGGAACCCTGATTTGGTGCTGCTCTCAAGGCTTCGACCAACAATACACAACTAATGCCCAACAAAGTGACTCAGCGTTAAAAAATATTTGTTGCACTCGAAATTGCTAGAAGGTACGCATACATCCAAGATACTCCTAAAAAAACAAGAACAGCATACTCATTGAGGGGCGGGCCAATTTAGCGAGGACATTCGCCCAAGGACAGGCAAATTCCACGCGACTTACGAGTCACCTACCGGGCTATACTCATACTAATAGTTACTGCCTTCGCATGCTGAGTATTATAGCTGTCTGGGCGACGCATGCACCAGGCACCAATGGCCAATAAATTACAGACTAATCAGTGTCTGCTGTCAAAACAGAGTCAACCTGCAGTCGACAGACGATAACCAGAGACCTAAAGGGCACTCCAATCAAGACACTCACAACACTACAACTGGACAAATATCAAGGTTCCGTCACTAAGGTCATTTCATTCACAAGCACCCCTCATGCAGCTTTGCTCTCCCTACCCCATTCGCCCTGCCCCCCCCCCCCCCCGCCGGCGCGGCGTCGGACTCACCTGCACCTGAGCGGTGGTCATGACCGGCGGCCGGCCGCCGCTCTGCGGTACCAGCTGGTACACAGTAGCGGTGGTCAGCCCGCCGGCCACCGGCGCCATCTTCAGCGAGCCGGCCGAGACGACCGGCAGCGGCGGCTGGGCTGGTGGCGGCGCCTCCTGCACCCGTACCACGTGCTGCTGCAGCTCCCCCTGCGGCTGGAGCAGCGTCAGCGGCGCCGGCGCCGACTGCTGAGAGCCGGCGGCAGGCGGTTTGGCCGGCTGAGGACCGGGGGGCTTATCCGGAGGCGGGCCCGCGTCCGGATGGTCTTGCATGTGACGGACGTACGCCGAGCGCTGGATCGTCTTGAACATACACACATGACAGGAGAAGATGAGATCAACCGCCTCGCCCGGATGTTTGTCGCGTAAATGTTTCTTGTATGTGGTAGATTGGATGCAAGAGTAGTCACAGTGCGGACACTTGTACGGCCGCTCTCCCGTGTGTCGCATCTTGTGCCGGCGCATCGTGTTGTGGTCGGTGGAGGAGTACGGACAGTGCTCGCAGACGAACGGCTTCTGACCCGAGTGCTGCCGCTCATGCATCACCAGCGAGGAGCGACAGCTGAAGACGTGGCCACACGCCTTGCACTGGAACTGCCGCTTCTTTTCGTGCACCATTTGTTTGTGTAGTGCCAGAGCACGTCGGTCGGAGAGTATTGAGTTACAGATGTTGCACCGACACGACTCGATGTATGCCGGGTCCTGCTTGTGCCGGTGCTTGGCTCGGTGGTTCTGCAGCTGCTTGGCCGTCTTGAACGCCTTGTTACACGTGACGCAGGAATAATTTCGGACTTGGCCGTGCGTCGGCATGTGAACATTGATGAGCTGAGAGTATCGCGCCGTCTTGTAGTTACACCGATCACAGTGGAACAGGTCACACTCGATCTGGTGCTCACGCCACAGATGCAGCGACATAGGACGCCACTTTTTCGTCGTGTGGTTACACTCGGTGCACCCGAACTCATTCGGACTATCCGACAGATGGCAGCGCTGATGCTGGTCAAGTTTCTCACTGTCTCTCAGACGAACACCACAGTCCTTCTCCTTGCACAGTAGCAGCCCCAGCGCGCGCTCCAGCTGACGCTGCGGCGGCCGTCCCTTACCACCGGCTAGTGTGCTAATGCCCAGCGAGCGAGAGTCCCGCGGACGACCCTTCTTCTTACCGGCAAGCACTCCCTGTAGCACTGACGGCTGCATGGAGGACACTATCCCCAGCAGGCGGCGGCTCTCGCGCGGACCAGACTCAGGGTCGTCCTCGTCCTCCTCCTCCTCAGCCGCCGACGCCGACGCCGTCGTTGTCGCCGTCGACACCGGCACCGTTACTGTCCCATCCACACCGTTCGTCTCTGGTTCTGTGGGCTCCGGTTCCGCGGGCTCCGGGTCATCGTCTGTCGCCGTCATCCCACCACCCATCCAGGTCACCTCGAGGTCGTCCGAGTCGGTTATCCCCGAGTCCGTGTCAAACCGCGGCTCAGTCGGACTGACAGCACCACTAACACGGCCGATATCCAGCGGATCCGGGCTGATCTCGCGACTGGCCACTACCGGGACCTCCAGCTGTGGCGCCGGCCGCGGCTGCACACGAACCCTGCCGTGTGCGTCGACGAGACAGTGCGCCACGCTGGTGGCACTGACCACTCGCGACGGCGGAGAGCGAGCGGTGCGACGCCGCTCGCCCGACCGGCGCCGCTCGAGTTCTGGCCGGTGACTGGCCAGCAAGTGCGCGGTAACATCCTCCCTCTGGAGCGACACGTAGCTGCACAGCGAGCACTTGTGCGCCTCCACTCGCTCGACTAGCTGTTGGCAGATGGCCGAGAGTCGCGCGGTGCCCGCTGCCGCCCTGGCGCGCTGTGGGTACGGAGGAGGCAGCCGGCCGGCCGAGCTCACCACCACTGACGGCGCCGACGAGACGACAGCGGCCGTCGACAGGGGAGTCTCCACCTGCGGCAGTGAGAGCGGCACGGCACTGAGCAGCTCGAGCTTCGGCGGCGAGCCGATGCCGTCCGATGAGTCCGTGCAGAAGCTGGTGACGTCGAGCGGCGCGTGCGAGGCGGGCAGCGGCAGTACCTCCAGGTCGGCATTGTTGAGCTGAACCAGCGGCCCGCTGGGCAGACAGGAAGACATGATGACGTCGTAGTTTGGCTCACTGCTGACCGGGACGACGGGCGCAGCGACGGAGGCGGCTGTGACGACGCTGCGGCTGGCGGCCGGCAGTGAGACCGGGGTGAGGGTGACCCCGCCGCTCGGCCGGAGCGTCTCCATGGACGGCAGTGCCGGCTCGCGGCCGCGCCGGCCGGGCCGCGCCTCCGGCTGGCCGCCGCCGCCGTCCGCGCCGGTGGAGCAGGGCACCGAGACGGGAGTGGTGAACTGGAGCAGGGGCCGGCCGACGCCCGTCTCGCTGACTGGCGTGCCCAGGTCGACGTCCACCACAATGACCTCCTCACTGGGCGGCGGCGGCGGCTCGCGGCTGGACGAGTCCACCGACACAGATACCTGGCGATACACGGACATTGGTCAGCGATACTGAACTCCAGAAGTCAGCGATGATACAGACAACAGCGGCTAAGGAATAGCACCACGCCTTCTCATGGACCCCGGTTGCCACTCTGCACCTATCTGCACCTGGGATAGTCATTCATGACGCTAATGGTGACCGATGGTTCCTGAATACAGAACAGGCCATTTGTAAGACAGATACAGAGACCACTCACCTGTTCGATGACCAGTCCGGGGATGCGGGACGGGTCGGGTCCGCCGCAGAACAGATCGGCCGGCAGTTCTCCCAGCACCCTGTTCTCCATCACCTGCTGCTGCTGCTGCTGCTGCTGGGACGTCGCTGCCACCGCGGCCGGCGCCGGCGGCGGCCCACATACGGACACTGGGTGGGAGGCACGCGGGCCGGGCCCGTCCGATCGCACAGGGGTCGCAGACGGCGGCTGTACACAGAAGCCAGAGCACACGTCAGCGACAGGCAGACAGCAACTCAGTCAAACAAGTAACCGGCGAGGGGTTTAGGGTCACGTCGACTCGACAGTGATATTATCGTTCGCCCGGAAAAAGCAAAAGAGGAGAGGCGCCTAGGGGAGGAGCAATGATGTGAATTCGGCCCCATGTTGGACAGAGCTCCTCACCTGGGTAACAGGAATTGTCGACAAAGACAGGTGCTCCAGTGTCTGATTTGCGCCACAGCTGGGCGCCGTGCCTCCGTCCATCACTCAGACAATGCTACCTGCAGACAAGAGTGGATTGTATGGTAACAAGTAGGTAATGGCTGTGGGCAGAGATAATCATGATGACACTTAACCCGCGACCTGGTGGGGGGGGGGCTATTTTTTGCCCCCCCCCCCCTCCAGACTTTTCGATATATCTCCAGAACCGCTGCGCCGATCGTCACCAAACTTTCAGTACCCTCCCGGACATCAATTTTACACATTGTGACCAAAACTTTTTCCAAAGGCTATTATAGGTTGGCCGGAAATGACGTCAGAGTGACGTCATGTTCTGCCGTTTTCGACCCAAAAAAAGGTTTTGCGGGAAGAGCTGTCAGGCCTAAAGCTTTGCAAATACAGAAAAATGATTAAAACATAAAAGCTGTAGAATCAACAGGGCTACAAAACTGCTATCTCAGATTTTTGAAATTTTCAGATTTGGACCCCCAAAAATCAAAAAATAGTTTTTTTATATAATAATCGAAAAATCCAAAAAGTTTTTTGAATTTCGCAAAAACCGGAATATATGTGATAGTCCTTACCGCCTTCCATCCACATACCAAATTTGAGATTGATACCTCTTTTTTTGGCGGAGTTATAGCGAAAAAACTGTTCAAAATTGATGACGTCAAATTTTCAAACTCAATTTTTAGCAATTCTAGACCCCGTAGCGCAAAACAAAGACCACCATTAGACTCCCCGTGACGAGCTGCATCGAATCAATACCCATTTTATGCAAAACTATCAACTTTAAAGTTTGACCTTTTTTGGCCTGACCTTGACCTGACCTTGACCTGAACTTCACCAGAAAGTGACCTAAGCCGTACCTGATAGTCTTATAACCAACACCATTGAGTTGGAAATGAAAAATTGGCCATAAAGCATGCATCACACAACCTTAGTAAAGTTGGGCTCATGTGACCTGACCTGTGACCCTTGGTGACCTGACCTGAGCCCCCCCCCAGCCGAAAAGCTGGAGGGGCTCAGCCCCCACTAGCCCCCCCCCCGTTCCCGCGCCACTGGATGTTTCTTATTAATAGGAAGTAGGAACTTATCTATCCATCCATCAATTTTTTATCTTAAAACTCAAATATTGACAGCAAGACAGACTAGCATTGCTGGTATTGTAAAAGATTCTGTTTCAAATTATGCACGGTAAAAACCTGGAAATTGTGTATTCAAAAATGAGCTTACTTTGCTGAAATCACTCATGGCAGCTGGCTGGCACCCAGGCCATGCCCAGGCCAATGTCAGGATGATGGCACATAGTTGCAACAAATGTAAGGAAAACTTTATTTTTTCACTGTTACCGAGGTTAGAATTGAGTTCAGAAGCAGTTCTGCCTAGGGTAGTTATACATTGCATCGCAAATCAAGTTAGACAGCATGACATCACCACTGTTCTAGTATCTAGATGCAAGGCAGTAGGTAAGCACTTAGCACACGTATGGGATTTAATCAGGAATAATGCACATGCTAAAATTAGGCAACGTTCAATTTTCTCAGAATCAGTTTTTGTCCTTTTCACTGGCTAAAATGTGTGCTAAGTCAAAAAGTACTTGGAGCCAAATGCCTTTTGAATAAAAACAGACTATTATAGTTCAAACTAGCTGCATACTGATTAGCTTATTGGCCTCTGCCAATGGCAGCTGCATTTTTGACATTCTCCTGTAAGGGAATGCATTCCTTCCTAAAAAATGATAGATGTGTTGAACTTCAGTCAACGAGTTTGGTTACAGAGATCATTGGGCCAAAAAAGTTCCTGATTTGTTCTAGTCTCAGCTCAAGCCACAAAACTGTTCTTGAGTTCTAAAACCATCGGTAAAACGTGTTTTTTTTTTTTTTAGTGGCCGTAACCTACGTTACCGGCCTCGCGAGGCGGGCGGCGACCTAACTACGCCACGCAAAAGAAACCGGCCGTCCTACCTAAGACCGGTGGCCACTTGTACAGCAAGACTTTTAAAGGTAGTGTGCCACCTTTGAAAGATTTCCCATTTTATTTTTCCTAGGATAGGAAGCTTCTGTTTTTACCTAATATCGCAAAAGAAATCAAAAATGGGCCTGGAATAGTGCCTTTTTCGCCTAAAAGTTTATCGGTTTTTCGATATGTATAACAACTGTAGTGGGCTGAGCTGCAAACAGGCGTCGGCAACAATCGCGAATGCGGCGCACATGTGACAATAAGCAAAGGTCATTATAGAGTTACGACGTACGGGAATGAGTTATCAGCTGTCTAATCGTAGACAACTCTCTCTCTTAAGTTATGGCCCCATTTCACCACACGCAAGTGGCAGAAATGACGATGATCAGCTGACGCATTTTTCTTGGCCGAAGTCAGAGCGCGCGGCCCGACGCACCACCACCGCACCACAAAGTATGAGCAGAAGCCGCGCCCAAAGCCAGGGCCCCGGTAACGTGAGGTAGCCGAGTCGGGGCAGCGTGCGCTGACCCAAGCCGGGGCCGCAGCTTTGGGCGCGGTCTACCGCATCCCCGCGGGCAGCCCCGGGCTATCACATGACACCGGGAGGACGCGCGGCCCCGGCTTGGGTCAGCGCACGCTGCCCCGACTCGGCTACCTCACGTTACCGGGGCCCTGGCTTTGGGCGCGGTCTACCGCACCACCTAACAGGCGTGTTCGAAACCGCAGGAGATGATGATGAACGGGTTTATCGAAACTTGATTGGATGAGCATATCGGTAATAGCGATTTCAGTGTGTGCATTTATTGTTCATAGTGGTGTGAAATGTGGTTGGGGTCAGGGTTGGCATTTTTGCCGGCAAAAACTAGTTTATGCCATTTGCCGGTTTAAACCGGTTTTAACCGGCAAAAAGTGGCAAAAACTGGCAAAAACTAAGGAATATCACAATGCTATGCTTGGACATGAATTTGAACATGAAGCATTTTAAGGAGAATTCGGTGAAAGCTTTATGCTTTCAAACAGAAGTGACATTGACCATTGAAATGCTTCATAACTCAAACATTTTCATGGGCTTTCCATAAGGAGCTAGTAAGATGCCTTTTGGGGTGACAAATGAGCCAGTGCAAGGGTGACTGGGTGAGTCCTGAACAATCAGAAGTGCGAAGGGGCATCTGCCACTGATGCGCACGGCACCGCATGGCACCTTACTTACCGTGGCTGTCTTGCCCCACTCTCCCCTACATGGAAATACGTTCCGTTGTGGATGTCTACCGACATGCATAGACATTTTAAGCAGGGATAAGTAATGAGGCAGCTTTAGAATGTTTAGTGCATCTATATAACTACCAGAAATGCATTTGTACATTTCAAATCCATTCCCAACTAGAAAAGTTGTAGGTTTGGCCATCTGAGTTTTAGCCAGTTTTTGCCAGTTCTTGCCACCAGGGTTTCTGCCAGCCGGTTTAAACCGGTTAAAACCACTGGCAAAAACCAGTTTTTGCCACCCCCTGCCAACCCTGGTTGGGGTACGACCGACAACCCGTCGGGGCGAATTTCGCACTGGGGTACTCAAAATTTGAAGAATTTAAGACGTTTCCATGAGTTTTGAAGGTATGGATAAGTTCTAAAAATCCGGTTCTCCTTATCTGGGCCATTAACTCCATATGGTCCAGGAAAGCTGGCACACTACCTTTAAATCTTTTACTTTCGGTTTCAGTAAAAGATTTAAAAATCGTTAGATCTCCGCTGACGTCACAAATTCTAAGGGGATATTCCAATGCATTAGCCCCTTAGAATCAGAAAACTGCAAGTTTGAAATTCCATATCTCCGAATTAAAGCATTTTTCGATGTTGTGAGTGCCCAAACTGGTATTTTCAGGCCTCAACTCAAAACTAATGTTAAAGGAAATAGTTCACTTTTTAACCCTATTCCTGGCGGGCTCCGCCGGGACAAGAAACTGGCGGGGGGGGGGCCGATTCGGCCCCCCCCCCTGAGATCTCGAGAACGAAGCAAGATAGCGACAAGCGGTAAACGGCATCGGATACGCACGGCCAAGATCTACAATTTTTACAAAGGTCATTTTCAGGTCAGGTCAAAGATGACGTCACAGGGGTCGAAAAAGTCAAAATGGCGGCGCTAGATATGGAGAGAGTTTTTCTCGAATAACTTTCGAATTAGTCAAGATAGGAACAAACTAAGGGCATCATCGTGATCCTCTCGTCAATCCGCATCGAATGATATATATGTTGACCTCGAAAGGTCAAGGTCAAAGGTTGACCTCAGGTCACGTGACCTCGAGGTCATCATGTATATCATTCGATGCGTCTTGACGAGCTGAACACAATGAGACCATCCACGCGTCTGTATCTTGTTCCTGTACGGAGTTATTGGCCAAAAACCTTTGGTGACCTTTGATGACGTCACATGACCTCACAGCTGCCCAACAGCAAAACAGACCTCAAGGTAGTGAAGGTTGATCGTATATGAAGTCATGTATGGTATATGGGGCCATTCCGACCCGTTTTAGTGGTGAAAACAGGGAGTTGATTTTTCCCCCATTGACTTATAATGGGGAGGTCGCGAAATTGACCTGACCTTAGGTCACCGATATCAAAATTCCGAGATATACAAATTGCACATACTGGTACCCTAACTAAACCCTGAAGAGAAGAAATTGATCGGTCAAAAACTCTAGCTCTGGCGTGATTGCAAACTTTTCTGAGGTAGGGTCACCAAACCGCCTCTGGTGACCTGACCTGAGGTCAGATCAACTCAAAATTTTCAGACATGTTGCGTAGAAGCCTTTTAGGAAAAGTCAGAAAATTTGAGCTTCCTAGCTCAACGCGTTTGGGAGAAATAACCAAAAAACCTCAGGGGGGGGGGGGCTCCTGAGGCCCCCCCCCGCCAGGAATAGGGTTAACATGGGTTTTGAACTGGAATAGCAGTTCTGTAGCTTGGGCTGAGACGAGCATAAATCAGGAGCTTTTACAGCCCAACGATCACCCTAGGCAAAGATATTCTATTTCTCGTCCCGAAAAATGTGTCTTGCGTTGAGGATGTGTGCCTTGCATATATTCGCATCCAGTATGAAACGAGCATGGGTCCCGAAAATTCTTCAGAAACTAGAGAAATTATCTACGAGAACTCTAGAGAAATTCGCTCCAGTGAGGCGCTCCAGTAACAAAAGCACGAGCAGATCGCCCAAATGCCGGTGGCCGCGATAATTTCTCTAGTTTCTGAAGAATTTTCGGGACCCATGCTCTTTTCATACTGGATCGCGTGTGCCTTACAGAAACTTAAAAGTTCTTCCTATATCAAAAATATAGAAAATAATCTTTTGTTGTAAAAAGGTTTTATTTTCTTTGCTGATCATTTTGAACATAAAAAATCACAAATCCATTGCAAAAAAAATAATTTCGTGAAAGTGAACTATTTCCTTTAAGGTGGGATGGTCACTTTCATAGCACTATATTTAAAGTGGTAGGCAATAGGCATATTTCTTAGTTCAGTTAGTTGCTTAAAGTCATATTGTATTTCAGTTGAGACAAGTATAATAACACGGAACAAAAATGATAGACGAACGCGTTTCGGCTAAATCACCGTCATCAGCTCTCCTTTTCTCACCGTTGGCTCTCCTTTTTAGACGCTGATGACGGTGATTTAGCCCAGTGTTTTTATATACCTTGATTTAGCCGAAACGCGTTCGTCTATCATTTTTGTTCCGTGTTATTATTAAAGTCATATTTTAGTACAGGGTGTTGCAGATAAATCCGACACTTGAGAGGCAAAATACGAAATCGGCAATGAAAGCATGAATATTGCACACACAGGTCTGGCATTTTATTCAGCACCAGTTCGAGTCATATGCTGCACTTCTACTCGATGTAACCGCCGTCGGCGGCGACGACCATCTCAAGCCGAGGGCGAAATGATTCGCACGCCTTGGCGACCGTGTCCTTGTCTACGGCGGCGAACTCTGCCATGATGGCGGCCTTGAGAGAGTCAACAGTACTGTGTGCATGCTTGTTGGTCTTGGCCTCGATCACGCCCCAGAAGAAATAATCGAGGGGGTTGCAGTCAGGTGAGGAGGGCGGCCACAAGTCCAGCGACCAGTGGTGAGGGACGTTGTTGAGCAGCCACGCCTGCGTCGTCCTGGCCTTGTGCGCCAGGGCGGAGTCTTGCTGGAAGACGTAGGGCCTAGGGGCGTCCGTTGGCGATCCTATGTTTGTGTTTTGGGGGAGGCAATTGATCATAGAGATGTAACATACTGCCCAAACTTTTCATCGTGAGCATAGCACTCAAATAAACACGATTTTTTCCAAGTGTCGGATTTACCTGCAACGCCCTGTATGTTCTATAGGGAGTTGAGCATTATTTCAGGTCCAATCTTTTCCTTGTTCATTTGTCTATCAGCCATGAAATTTTCAGGGTGGGAAAACAATTTGCAGGCAGTCCAAGTGGATTTCATGAGAAAAGTTCCAAAAACAGCATCATTTTTTGATACTTTATATATACAGGACCCTATAGGAGGCAGTCCTGTTACAGGAGCATAAAATAAGAGCGCTCCAATTTAAGCTTATTTTCCTGGTAAGTCACGAGCTGATTTCCTCAAATATTTCTACGGACACGACATGAGATATCAAAATTTCAAGTATGGCATAACAAGATCAGCCTTTGCCCTATGAACGATCTTGTTTGATCATAAGACAGCACTGAATTTAATGTTCTATGGAATATCATTATATCTGTGATTAACATGGCAAAAAAAAACATGCACAAAATACTGAAGTGAGGCATCACGAGCCGCCAGCCGGAAAACAGACGTAAGTGACGCACTACTGAAATTTTGGTTTACGGCTGTTCTACGCTGAACGAACAAACATAAAGCGATTCTCAGACAAGGATACACTGCATATTTGCAATAGACAGCTTGTGTATCAAACAAAAAGCTATAATTCCTCATAATCACAAAAATCCCATCCAAGGTCCGAATCTCACCAGTTACGCGCGCGTCGTAAACATCTACATTTCACGCTTTGCCATTTAAGAATCTAAGCAGCTGACATAAATCGTTGTCTAAAACGCAGACAAATTAGGTACTTACCTCCCAAATTCAATCATCTTTATCCGCCTATGCTTTTTCGAAATGCTTAATTCTGTAATGCATGTCAATTTCTGATTCAAGGTGCATCGATCGGCAGTTGTTTTGTTAATGCGTCAAAATTGGTTGAAAAACATGGCCGTGGTAAGCAGTTGAAAAAGCATCTAAATCCTAAAATTTGCAGTTACTTACTCCCCCAATTTGCGATTTTGGGACTTTTAAGTGTAGAAACTTCGTGGAGTGGAATCGAATGCCGTTCGAATTTTAAAAATCGGCCGGTTATATCTCTAAATATCAAGGGGGTCCTAAACAGCCCCCCTTGCCATTAAAGGAAATAGTTCACTTTTTAACATGGGTTTTGAACTGGAATAGCAGTTCCGTAGCCTGGGCTGAGACGAGCATAAATCAGGAGCTTTTACAGCCCAACGATCACCCTAGGCAAAGATATTCTATTTCTCGTCCCGAAAAAGGTGTCTTGCGTTGAGGATGTGTGCCTTGCATATATTCGCATCCAGTATGAAAAGAGCATGGGTACCGAAAATTCTTCAGAAACTAGAGAAATTATCTACGAGTACTCTAGAGAAATTCTCGTACTGATCAATACCTAAGGACATTCAGCAGCAGCAGATCGCCCAAATGCCGGTGGCCGCGATCATTTCTCTAGTTTCTGAAGAATTTTCGGGACCCATGCTCTTTTCATACTGGATCGCCTGTGCCTTACAGAAACTGAAAAGTTCTTCTTATTATCAAAATATAGAAAATAATCTTTTGTTATAAATAGGTTTTATTTTCTTTGCTGATCATTTTGAACATAAAAAATCATAAATCCATTGCAAAAAAAATAATTTCGTGAAAGTGAACTATTTCCTTTAATAGGGGCAGCCAGGAGCCTGCCACTAATAGGGTTTGTGACAATTAAACTAAGTGTAGTAAATAAAGAAAGTGACAAGGAACTTATAGGAAGTCAAGTGCCAGCAAAATTGTGCAAAATCACGGAAATGATACGCAAAAATTAGGGGAAAGTGGGGTAAGACGGGCAGTGGGCCCCTTTGGAGCCATTTTTCGGCCGGTTAGAAACATCATAGAAACAGGAAACTGAGTGAAAACCTTTTTTAGACATTTTACTTCCATTTGCCAGAAGATGAGACTTAGAGCTGTTTCAACAAAAAAAAAACTAAAGCTATTTTTCCAAAAACTTGCAAAAACCCGTCTTACCCCACCCCATGGGGTAAGACGGTCACATGGGTAGGGCAAGACGGCCAGATTCTTTCACCGACCAGCGCAGCTCGCAACAAATGCCCGAGATTAGCCGCATTGATACAGTCGCTCGTTGGTCTCAAGTGCTTCGGAAAAGGCAGTATACGCGATTCGTGCAGAAGGCTATGCTCGTATAGGTATAGGCCCTAGTTCAGAAACCTTGCAGAGCCGTTTTTCACATTCATCATTCGAGAATAAACTGTGCCGAAGGAATGTTGCTAACATGTGTGTGAGTATCGAAATCGAACATATTCTTAATTCTTAACCCGCGAGTTGCTGGGGGGGGGGGGGGAAAGGCGTTAAACGCCCCCACTTTTTTCGCCGGGCCATAGCATAAAAACGGCGCGCCGCAGGCGCGCCAAATGTTGGGTACCTGTAGGGAATTGATTGAAGTCTATTGTGACAAAATTTCAAAAAAAAAATCGGTCGGATTTTTTTTAGATGTCGAGGTTTTAGTGACGTCATGATTTCTGAGTTTTCGACCAAAAACGGCATATGTTCAAAAAATCATATAAAATCACAGAATAGACATACAGACATGCCGTAAACGGCATAAGACTGGCAATACCATGAACAATCAAATGGCTATCTTCGATTATTGATTATCGTTTCGCATTTGCCAAAATCTTGATCTGAATCTTGCCAATTTCTCGTGACTACTTCACGACCATGATATACATACATTTCTTAACCCTCGCATGTGTAGGGGGGTCGGATGGACCCCCCCCATGGTTTTTCGCGAATAACTCGCGTAAAAAGCGGCCGATCGCGACGAAACTTTCAGTACCCTCGCATTGATCAATTTGACACCTACCCTGAAAATTTCATGACCCTGACCCAAATGACCTTTGACCTGTGACCTCTTTTCCGAGACCATGTTTGGCCGGAATCGCGATTTCGCGTATGTCGGCTCGCACTAGCCGCGTGTTTGCAAGCTTTTCGTGGTTTCAAACATTCAAACATGTGATTTGATGTTACTCCCGTGTGTGTCAAGGTCACCTGAAGGTCAGGTCAGGTCATTGACCTTTGGTGACCTCGGGTGACCTCGGGTCACTTTTTCGAGTTTTACATGTTTCTAGGCTAGTTTTTGGAGCTGAATTCGAATTTAGCAACCATTTGAACATTTACGAAGTAGTTTTGGTGACTTCGTAACATGTTACGAAGCTGTCAGAGGCGGTTGACACGTACTACGAATACCCGTCACGACGCCTACTGGTTGACCTGACCTGACCTGACCCGACCTGGTCTAAATGCTTCAAGACATCATCTGTGATCAAAACTAACACGATATTCGTGATCAGCACCCCGAAAAACCCCTTAGCAGCCACACTTTACGACTTTCTAACAGGTCCCGATTTTCCCGACTTTGGGTCATTGACCTGACCTGGAAGGTCAACCAATGACCTAGGACCTTAAAATTGGGTATCATCGGCTTCCTCTCGTCACGGGCAACACGCTCGTTTTTTCCGCGAAGCTCTAGCTCGATCAGGGGCCAAACGGCAAGGGGGGGTCCAACCGACCCCCCCCCCCCTACACATTAGAAGCTGGCAAACGCCGCACACATGCGAGGGTTAAATTGAACTTTTTGAGCCAAACACGTACACATATGATAACATGAATGTCACCATCGTGTTCTACGCCCCAAATTACCCATAAAACATGTGTCACAGACGGCGAATATCAGTTTTGATTTTCGGGGATATGTGCCTACCCGGTTGACCTGACCTTGACCCTGACCTATGCTTGACTGACCCCTACATGGGGCTGACACTCTTGTAGGCCTTATATGATGGATTGTGCACCGTTTTGACAGAGTTTATGACGAGAGGCGCTCATTGCGAAGTCCTGAAGTCCATGCTACTGAAAGCCCGATTTCAGGTGTTTGACCTGACCTTGACCCGACCTGTGACCTCAAAATTCAACTTAAAGTACTCATCTGAAGCGTCTCGTCGCGTTCTTTCGTTTGCCGCCTCGTGCGTTTCGCTGCGCCTATTGGTTCTCGAGTTATCGGCTGGGGGCGTTTAACGCCCCCCCCCCTGGCAAACGGTGGGTGTCGAAATACCTACCCCAGCAACTGCCGGGTTAACAGAAATGCTCCTTTTTTCCTACAGCAACAAAAATATTTTCACCATTACAGACCCATTGGATTCATAGTTGCCCGTCTTACCCCAAACTCAATGTCAGAAGTTCAGCACGATTTTGTGTGTGGACAATTTGATGCAGACAAAGCAAATTCGCGGTAAATGAACACTGGTGGCATATGAGTGTACCACAAGTAATTGCGAGTTTTTAACTCTGTAGTGCTGCACACAAAAGCTTGCACAATACATTATGGATGTTTTCAATGAAATGAGGTTTTTAACCCTCGCCCGTAAAAGGGGGGGGGGGTCGAACGGACCCCCCTCGGTTTTTCGCAAATAACTCGCGTAAAAAGCGGCCGATCGCGACGAAACTTTCAGTACCCTCGCGTCAATCAATTTAACACCTACCCTGTAATTTTCATGACCCTGACCCTAATGACCTTTGACCTGTGACCTACTTTTCGAGACCCTGTTTGGCCGGAATCGCGATTCGGCGTATGTCGGCTCGCATTAGCCGCGCGTTTGCAGTCAATTCGTGGTTTTAGGCGTTCAAACATGGGATATGATGCTGCTCCCATGCATTAGGGTGGGTGTCAAGGTCACTGGAAGGTCAGGTCAGGTCATTGACCAATGACCTTTGATGACCTCGGTTCACTTTTTCGAGCTTTACATGAGTCTAGGCCAGTTTTTGGAGCTGAATTAGAATTTAGCAACCATATGAACTTTTACGAAGTAGTTTTGGCACCTTCGTAACATGTTACGAAGCTGTCAGAGGCGGTTGCCACCTGCTACGAATACCCTTACTGGTTGACCTGACCTGACCTGACCTGACCTGGCCTAAATGCATGAAGACATCATCTGTGATCAAAACTAACACGATATTCGGGTAATACCGCCCACCCTATTTTCGGAAAACAAGCATCCTTGATCAGCTTACTGTGTCATCAGATCAATTGGTGACATGGCGGCGATCAGCTGTGCAAGGTGATTTGGTAGGGGAAAGTGGGGTAAGACGGTCAGGGTAGGTAAAAAACTGGGTAAAACGGGCACCCCTTCTGCAGACCAAACCAATAGCGCTACGACTTACGAGCGAGAAAAATTAGGACCAGAATTGCCTTTCCCACTACACACCACCATTGAAGTCTGGTGAATTTGTGTTCAGTCAATAATCTTTTATTTTGATTTCTTTAACCCTCGCCCGTATTGGTGTCTTTCCAGCCGCGAACGTATAAGGGGGGGGGGGATCCGTTGGACCCCTCCCCTTGCCGTTTCGCCCCTGATCGAGCTAGAGCTTCGCGGAAAAAAACGAGCGTGTTGCCCGTGACGAGAGGAAGCCGATGATACCCAATTTTAAGGTCCTAGGTCATCGGTTGACCTTCCAGGTCAGGTCAATGACCCAAAAGTCGGGAAAATCGGGACCTGTTAGAAAGTCGTAAAGCGTGGCTGCTGTGGGGTTTTCGGGGTGCTGATCACGAATATCGGTGGTGTTCCCCGTCTTTCCCTTATACATTGTATGCATAGTAATTAATGTATGTAAGCACCTACTTAAATACCTACCTAGTCACACATAGGCGGCGGAACGGGGAAGG